ACTGATACAAATTTTTTTTCTAAAGGACAATTTTTCTTCACAAAAGTGACATTTAACCTAAACAGAAAGCTATTTAGTTAATATGTTTAGACATATTCATTAGATATATATATATATAGATACCAACGGACTTTTCAGACGTAACAATTTTTAAACGAAAAACATTGAAAATAATTACAACTTCTATACTATCGTTGGTAGTACATATCGCCGCCGTGAAAGAGATAACATCTGACATTATTTTAAACTCGTATGTTACCGAAAGGATTTTTCCAGTGGTTCCCTTTTTTCACGGTTTCATCAAAATTTTGAAACATACTGAATGCGTTTTCATCGAACTTTGTAAGATGTTTATTTCTTGAAAATGTATCCCTTCCTCGAAAACCCGAAAAAAAACCCTTTCGAACACAACAACTTTTACAGCACACAGATATCTCTAAATGTTAAATAGTAATTAAATATTAATGAAGGAACTAGTGGAACTTCCCATCTAAAGTTTGACTTTGCTTCTTATCACTTTGAATTTTCTTCAATCGCCTCCATAGGCTTCAACATATAGGCTTTCAAAATACCACTTGCGCGTCCTAGAAGGACGAAACAGCTGTATGATGTAGCATTACTGAAGAGTCCTAGAAGGACGAAACAGCTGTATGATGTAGCATTACTGACAAGTCCTAGAAGGACGAAACAGCTGTATGATGTAGCATTACTGACGTGTCCTAGAAGGACGAAACAGCTGTATGATGTAGCATCACTGACGAGTCCTAGAAGGACGAAACAGATGTATGATGTAGCATCACTGACGAGTCCTAGGAGGTCGAAACAGATGTATGATGTAACGTTACTGACGAGTCCTAGAAGGACGAAACAGCTGTATGATGTAGCATCACTGACGAGTCCTAGAAGGACGAAACAGCTGTATGATGTAGCATCACTGACGAGTCCTAGAAGGACGAAACAGCTGTATGATGTAGCATCACTGACGAGTCCTAGAAGGACGAAACAGCTGTATGATTTAGCATCACTGACGAGTCCTAGGAGGACGAAACAGCTGTATGATTTAGCATTACTGACGAGTCCTAGAAGGACGAAACAGCTGTATGATTCATTGTGTGGCTCTGCTGTACTTAACTAAATTTGTTATAAAAGCGCCATTGTATTGTGTGTCTATTGTACAATATTAAAAGCCGCTTACATGCGCTTACACACATAATGAACAGATGATGTTGTATCCGATTGTATCCTATTTTTCAGAAAACTGGATTTTCAGTTTTCCATTCATCATGGGCTCTAAAATCAGGCAGAGCTGTTATTATGACTCAAACAATAGGACGATTTATACATATAAAGACAACCTTTCCAAAACCAACTTTTCAGGTTTGGAGAGGGATATTTAGGTTAAAGATAACAGCAGTGAAGAATCGAGGAAAAAATATCGACGAGACAAAAAGTCATAGAAATAAAGTTAAAAAACAAAACAGACCGACAGAGCCGTGAGTCTATGCAGAGATTTAGAATGGAAAACATAACACAGGTATTAACGAGAAGAAGAAGACTTTACTAATAAAGCAACCACTAGGAAACCGTCATCAAGTGTTGACCTCCAGTACAACGAATGACGCTATCTTAGTCATAGTAACACAACTACAACACTAAACGTAGAAACCTCCAAGACAGCTGAGAACTCCTGGAGCGGATGTTAGTTACGGTACTAGCTGACGTAGAGAATCCAGACCATTCCAAAACCTTCTATTGTTTCCAGTTTTAAAACTGAGTTTGATTTCGACGAGTGCAATTCCTGTTGTACAGATGACGAGGCCTAGCAACATAGAGATATGTTTTATGGTAGGGTCACACCAGAAGATATGGTGGTGATGAGAATGGTGGAAGGAATGATTCTGTTTTTGGTCATGAATAAAGTAGGCCGTGTCTCCAGACAGGAAGCGGTGTATCCCAATTACGTCACGTCCTGTGCACAGACCGGATATATAGTGATAAAGATGGTGTAGGGTTTGATGACAGCATGGACTGTAGAGAACCAGGAAAACAACCGTTGGTCACTGTGGAAACAACTACCTCGGGGCCATCTGAGATAGGGGATACGCGGTGTGACTCGTCACCTGAAAGACCGAAAGGTCGTTATAGTGGACATAGAACCCGTTAAAATAAACACATAAATCCGCGGTGTATCAGCTTTCAGGCTCACTCTTACATCGGCCATTAGAATCGTTAAAGGAAAATGATAAATAGAACAGATGTGCTTTTAATTAACGGAGTTCGTTCTAACGTCAAATGTTGGACACACCCACGAGCACTGAAAGGATGTATGTATTATTTTCTTTATTTTTCAATGTGTTTAACAATGTTGATATTTTCTGTATAAAATTATGTATTCTCTTGGTTTTTTTGTGTCGTTATCGGTTATGGTAGTCTGGAATGTCAAGAGAAGAAATTAGTTTCGAATAGATTCACCGCATCATAACTAGCATTCACACAATGTCTAATCTTATTAAGACAGTTATATCTAGTCAAAAACATCTGAATACTGAGATTTCAAATGTCAGTATAGAATCTGAGGATCAGCATTACACTATTAGATTATTCTGTAATTCTATACTATTAAATTGCTTATAATTGGGACATTTTCTCTGGTTGGCAGTGACCTCCCTCTACTCATAAAACTACACATGTACTCGTACTTGAATGTGTAATTGATGCTGAACAAACAACCCTTTCACGATAACTTCCAAATTAACAAATTACTGACGTGTGACGGTAACAAATGAACAAAATACTGATGTGTGATGGGAACAAATGAACAAATTACTGATGTGTGACGGTAACAAATTAACAAATTACTGACGTGTGACGGTAACAAATGAACAAATTGCTGACGTGTGACGGTAACAAATGAACAAATTACTGATGTGTGACGGTAACAAAAGAACAAATTACTGACGTGTGACAGTAACAAATGCACAAATTACTGACGTGTGACGGTAACAAACGAACAAATTACTGATGTGTGACGGTAACAAATAAAAAAATTACTGACGTGGGACGGTAACAAATGAACAGATTACTGACGTGTGACGGTAACAAATAAACAAATTATTGACGTTTTAGCAAATCCTAGCAAGAAATAGCTTCATAACATTCACATCATGCATATTTCAGATGGTGTGAAGGCACAGATTTGAGATTGTCCAAAAAGTATAATGATAAATATTTCCTTAAAGGACGCAGAGTTTATACATTTAATATCTCTAGGTTCATTTGAGTCTTTTTATATCAGCTGGTGCGTCCACTTTGAGCGTGGCACGGATCCGAATTTATTCAAGGCCAATGGTGATTTACCTCCCTTGGACCGGGATAATGATGTGATGATCAGAGAATGCTGTAACACCAACTTGTCGAAACTGAAACTTGCAATGTATATAGTCTGAATCGCAGAGATTTTCTTAAATACATGTATTACGAAATGGAACTAACTCAGGATGGCGATCAATGTAAATGCTGACTTTGATCATGAATTCTAGGACTAAATGGCCTTTGCGAATGAGGAAACTCAAAAAATAGGGTATAACTGTTTAAAAGGCAAATCGTCTCATCGAAGAGATGAAGTGAGATACGTGATTTGATATTAAAAAAACAGTTTTTCAATTTTTCAACTTATTTGCCTCCCATCTTCACCATAATGCTTATCCATTGTTGTGTATATATCTGGATTGTCGCTTTCGTCTACAATATGTTCTAAACGATACCCCCCTATTATTCCAGGAAAAAGATGACTTGATAAGCAAGTGTGACTTCAGTATATCTCGATTTTAATGGTGTGTAGTGTAAAATCACACAAAGGGACATAAAGACCATAATTTCAATTTAATGTAACCATAAGGTCTTGTCAAAGGCTGAATGTTAATTCATGATTTTCTGTTTTCGTTTGATTTTGTATTGGGAAATTATTGTAGTTTATAGTTATATAGAATTTTAGAAACAACAAGAAAACACAAGCATGTGAACATAACAATAATCCAAACTCAAATTCAATGCAACTAGGGCAAACTAGTAACAAAATAAAGATTTACAAGGATCCTCATGGAAGGTACACATAGAATAAAACCAGGTGTTCTTGAAGAGTAAGCATCTTCTGCTTCACCAACGACACCATGTAGAACACATAATCAATTCGTCGTAAATTTTCTTCAGAATTCCTTAATGCTATGTATATGTTATCAAATGAAAGTTCTCGTTAGTGTGTCTCAAGTGAAACTTACATAAGCATATTGTGACTTTGTTAATAGTATGAAGTTATATAGGCAATAAGTACCAAATATAACACAGTATCTGGGTCAGTCATGTTTGAATTTCTGATATTATGTTGCATGCATGTGTTGAGTGCATGCGTTCTTCGGAGGCTTTGATATGTCTGTGTAAGCATCCTTGTGATAATTCAGAGCTGCTGCAGAATTTATAGTGCTTCTATACTGAATTAAACTTCAAAGCAGTTATTGCTATATCACAATGATAAGTGTAAAAGCAGGGAAAATACTTTGAAAGACACTTATGTCTTATCAAGTCAGAACCTGAGGAATATCAAAATTTCCTAGTCAGTCGATATCAAGTCGATGTCAAGAAACAGAAAATATTCTTTTTTTTATATAATGACACTGTTAAATGATTCTTAACTACATTAAAATTCCTCTGTGTTGCCTGTGTTATACAGAGATATATCTAATACATGGTTTCGGATCTATGTAAGATGTGATTCTGAATGTGTGATACATGGTTTCGTTCCTCTGTTGGGAGGGCCATACCTATGTGACCAGAGAGCTACCGAGAATATTGTACTTGTAAATTTAATCCAAGGACGTTAAATCCACTACTTTCTTATGTAATTTTCCAAGTTTAGGCCGTCAACCATATTGGATTTTTTGTATGTTGTACAAGAGTATTATATTTTGAAATCGACTATACTGTAAAGTGGCTAACCAACTACAATGAAATCGTCTGGTAAAGGTTCCGAACAGAGAAATTTAGCATACATAGTGTCTGATGAGGAGAAGAAAAACAGTGAAAATAACGGGATATTGTATCCTGTGGACACAGACAAAAATTCTACAGAGAAAAACGAACCAACAGGTGAAAGTAAGGTTTACAAAAGGCGTTGGTATGTTCTAGCATTGTTTTGTGTTTTGACATGTACGGAGACAACTGTATGGAACACATGGGGGCCTATAGCAGCCTCTTGTGAGAGAGCCTTTGGCTGGAATGTTTCCATTATGGCTCTTCTGCCCAACTGGTTACCTATTTCCTTCGTGTTGTCATCCTTCGTTTTTTCGTGGATCGTTGATGTGAAGGGTAGGTATCGATGTTTTATCATTCATTTTCATTCGAGTTTCCTATTATTTCAGCGGTACATGTAGAATATACTGTTAACGAATAATTTTCTCCGAGGATTTATTTTTGTCTGGTGTTATCTTAAACCATGAACTTATAGGTCAATGAACTATTAGGATTGGTAAAAAAAATTCTATTTACAATATCAAACGTTCACCCAAACAGTTTTTTTAAAGAGATAGAAGAAAACCATAAAAATAGAGCCCCACGAAAAAATATGATATTACAGTATACTGTGAATTTCACAAGTCATTTGTAATTGCGGTGACATTTTCTATTGCTTAACTCATCAAATTGTAAAAAAAACAATATGCATGTTTTTCACACGTAAAAGTAGAGATTTTCACATGGTAGATATATCTTACATCGTTTTTATTTATTGATTAATCTGCGTTAAATGATTCACTAGGTATGAATAAAATATCCATAAAACTATTGACGAATTTTGATAATAACTTTGCAATATTAAGAAAGATTTATCTTAACCTTTTCGTCTGTTCTCATGAAAGGATCATTTAAAAGATGAGCATGGTTTCTGTAGTAAGTGAATGAATATTTGCTTACAGGAATCAGAATGGCATGTCTCATCGCAGCTGGTCTGATAGCTGTTGGGTCAGGGGTCAGATGTATTACGTCAGAACCGCCATATGTTACGTGGTATGTGCATTGACAAGCATGTCGATAAATATGAATAAGTATAAATTTTTGATAGATAATTATAAAGTTTATACATAGTTTGACATATATCGAAATACAACCGGACCCTGCGTTCATTAGTCTCTGTAGTGTACAGCTTCAAACCTCAGAGAGAAGCGAGTGGTGTGCCCTGATCATCAAAACTCACCAGTACACGAGTATTTACATGACAAGTGCGTACCGACGAGGTCTCCAGTGTAACAAACACAACACAAATTTACACGAGGATGTATTTTTTTGCTTTTTTTTCCTGGCCCAGTCGGCACCTTCCTAATGAATGCTTATTGTACTCTTCTCTGCGGCGTCCGACTACTCTTACTCTCGGACAAAGAAAAATCAAAGTGTTATCAAACATTTTCATCACAACAGAAAAAAACCGATGCAATTTCAATGCAAAATCAAAAATAGTTACAGTGCATTACCTCAGTAGTCAGCCCCCACCCCCACCCCCAACCCCATGCTGTTATCGTACAAATGATATGAAAAGACGCAAGATTGAACAAAGAGAAAAGTTGAAAAATTACTACAATTCGATTAAAGATTGCATCTGATGTTGCTCTCATTAGAAGACAAACGATATGTACCAACACGTTTGGGTTCTACAACTGATAGATGTTGTCGAAACTGTTGTCCAACAGCACTTTGTTAACAATTTATCTCTGGAAATCAAACAGGAAAGGAAATGTTTATTAATTGTTGTTGGTGATTGTAGGACAGTCAATATTGGGCAATTTTTTAATGGTTTGGGTGGACCTGTTGCTATGGGGATAGCTCCGGTGTTATCAGTTGCCTGGTTTCCTCCACGTCAACGGACAACAGCAACGGCAACAGCAACTGCCTTTAACTACCTTGGTGTGGCCGTAGCCTATCTCATAGGTGAGTGAGGAGCCACCTAGGTATGACAACAGTCTATTTAACAGGTGAGTGAGGAACCACCTAGGTATGACAGCAGTCTATTTAACAGGTGAGTGAGGAACCACCTAGGTATGACAGCAGTCTATTTAACAGGTGAGTGAGGAACCACCTAGGTATGACAGCAGCCTATTTAACAGGTGAGTGAGGAACCACCTAGGTATGACAGCAGCCTATTTAACAGGTGAGTGAGGAACCACCTAGGTATGACAACAGTCTATTTAACAGGTGAGTGAGGAACCACCTAGGTATGACAACAGTCTATTTAACAGTTGAGTGAGGAACCACCTAGGTATGACAACAGTCTATTTAACAGGTGAGTGAGGAACCACCTAGGTATGACAACAGTCTATTTAACAGGTGAGTGAGGAACCACCTAGGTATGACAGCAGCCTATTTAACAGGTGAGTGAGGAACCTCCTAGGTATGACAGCAGCCTTTCTCATAGGTGAGTGAGGAACCACCTAGGTATGACAGCAGCCTTTCTCATAGGTGAGTGAGGAACCACCTAGGTATGACAGCAGCCTATTTAACAGGTGAGTGAGGAACCACCTAGGTATGACAGCAGTCTATTTAACAGGTGAGTGAGGAACCACCTAGGTATGACAGCAGTCTATTTAACAGGTGAGTGAGGAACCACCTAGGTATGACAGCAGTCTATTTAATAGGTGAGTGAGGAAACACCTAGGTATGACAACAGTCTATTTAACAGGTGAGTGAGGAACCACCTAGGTATGACAACAATCTATTTAACAGGTGAGTGAGGAACCACCTAGATATGACAGCAGCCTATTAAACAGGTGAGTGAGGAACTACCTAGGTATGACAGCAGCCTTTCTCATAGGTGAATGAGGAGCCACCTTGGTATGACAGCAGCCTATTTAACAGGTGAATGGGGAAAAACCTAGGTATGACAGCAGCATATTTAACAGGTGAGTTAGGAACCACTTAGGTATGACAGCAGCCTATTTAACAGGTGAGTGAGGAACCACCTAGGTATGACAGCAGCCTATTTAACAGGTGAGTGAGGAACCGCGTAGGTATTACAGCAGCCTATTTAACAGGTGAGTGAGGAACCGCGTAGGTATGACAGCAGCCTTTATCATAGGAACCACGTAGGTATGACAGGTGTCTACCTCATACATAAAAACTACAAGAACACAGCAAGAGAAAATGTCCAAAAGTAAAAACAAATGTACGTAATCGATACGTACATGTATATACTACTACAAGTGTCAACAATACATGAAATATGAATATATATATAACAGTTATGTATATTTAGGTCTGCTAGTAGCTGATTGATTGGAGTTGTCGCCCTTCTTTGGCAGCTGTCACTACAGCTATAATCTAATATATGATACGATTTAATAAGTAATTGAATTAAAACATATGGACGATTGTTTTATACCTGGCAAAGTCTGACATTATTTTTTTTTGTAGGACCGTATATGGTTCCAGAGTCAGATGAAATATCTAAATCACAGAACCTTACATGGTAGGTATAACCAGAGACCTGTGTTATATATGTCTCTGGTATAACCAACAATAGAGCAATGAGTTTATGTCATTCAACGTAACAATAAAGAATTAGAGCTCGAACTAATATTAAAACTTGTGAATGATAAAACACAAATTCATGAGTTTTTACAAACATTGTTAGACTGTAAATTCATTGTGTTCAAATGTAATTTTAACAGGAATAACAGTATGACAGGCTTGTCGGAGAACTTCCAAAATGCTACTGATAACGGTGGGTACATGTGATTTCTTCTATACTAACAAAAACATTTATTAAAGTTATTTCATCAATGCTTAATATCAAAATTATATTCACACTACAGTATTAAAAATTCTGAAATTATAACTTGTATTTTTGTAATAAAACCTTAAAGTAAGGAAAATTATTGAAAACACTAGGCCATTGTTAGATCAGATTATATTATGGCTATCTTGTGCGATTATTTAATTAATTTGTCACACAATACTGGTGATGGCTGACGTGAAAGTATAATTGAACAATAAGTAAAGATTCATACATGGGTTTGTTAGTGTTTATATTTTTTCAGATGACGCCGAAATCCACAGAATTCGTCACGACATTATGATAATGTTGTACATAGGTAAATGTCTTATTACATTTCATTTGAATAAAGTACCTCAGTATAATGCGTAACATAATACTAACCTAAAATATTCACGTTTCCAAAGATCAATACTGTACTAATTACCGAGAAATAGGAGCAAAACCACACAAATTATTTCCAGTACCAATTAACATTATTTTTATGTACAATATTAATCTGGGCGTGTTATTAACATTGCTCTCATTTGGGAACGTGACATTAATTTCTTGGATTGGCCAAGATTTACAAGACAAGTGTCGTCAGTGAAGCCGAATACACTCACCTTTCCTAAGCACTTGATTCTCTTCCCCTTGTGCTTTTTCCAGAAGACTCCATATAGTTTTCTTATGTTTATATTTTATCCTCTTTGCATCTTTGCATAGGATTTCAGTAAGAGTTAGTTGACATGACAAGTACTTGTATGCACGAGGAACTAAACGGAGTCTTTCGATGTTACGAAGACAAAGTTTATTCTATGTTTATGTAACCCTTCTGTCGTTTTGCTGATTCATGTTTCATTATTGTACCTTTCCAAGAGTGTGGCTGGTGTGTGTTGATTTTCCTACTGGTGTTACTGTATTTCCCCGCCAAGCCAAAATTGCCACCAAGCATATCCGCTTCGGTAGAGCGCCTCGATTTCAAATCTGGATTTCGAGTATTAGTCAGGTAAATATTTGCATTGAACTCGCTTCATCCTTTTCATCGGTGTTACACTTTACATACACGGAACTGATCTTGAGGGCTTCATTTTAAGTCATGAAAGACTCTTTATCTTATATCTGCCCAATTCTCCAATATTCATATCATCCGTTATTTTATGTTTTCTTGATTTTCGCCATTGCCAACAATACGTTCTGAACACTATCCCCTATTATTGCAGAAACAAGATGTTCTGGATGGTTGGACTAACGTATGGTGTATCTACTGGGGTGCTAGGCATGTGGGAAGGCGTGCTGGACGTCAATCTTAAACCCCATGGAGTAACACAGGTATGACGTCAGTAGAAACTTGTTTCTTCCTTTTATGAATTATCTAAGTGGGATCAAATATCTTTTCTGGCATTTATAATAATCATATTCAAGGTAGCATATCCATCCGTACGATATGCGATTGATTAAATCTGAGCATGTACTAAATCGACTTTACATGATTGACATTTGACATTATACTTAGATTAAAATGTCGCCCCAAAACCTATTTAATATTACCGTTAGATATTATCAGATACATAAAAAATACAAAATTTATTGAAATAGGAGGCAAGTGCTACTCCCTGTCTAGATTTTGTCATTGTTTACTCGATCACGTTGGGTCATCTTTTCAGTCGCCTCCTCGGTTTTTAAATTCAGGCCCTTAGCACCATTGACGAGTCCTAGAAGAACAAAATGACTGCATGGTGCAATTGAATTCATTATTAGCATCATTTTGTATGGAACAGTGCTATTCACATGTTTGTCTTTTGTACAATCTTCTCTCATACAAGATCAAGCAGGATAATGTTACCATGAGATTTTAATCTGTCATGGTTTAAATATTCCATAATTTTATTTTTTATTTACTTTCCTTCCGCAAGAATGTACCTATTTTAACTTTTAAAAGTATTAGATTTAAGTGTTTCAACGGTGGTCCTTCTTATATATTCGTAGCGTGAAGCAGGCTGGATAGGGTTCTATTCCATAATCGCCGGAAACGTTGGAGCAATATTGTTTGGCAAGTAAGTTCTGCTGGAAAAGCATTTATGTTTACTGTCTGTATATGGCTTATCAATGGAAAATTTTAAGTAAATATATGAAAGATAAGTCAACGATTTCATCGTATGTTGAGAAATTTTGTATTTTACTTTTGCATATTATGGTGTTTCGTTTAAAAAAACCACAAGCATCATAAATATTTTGTGAATATCTAAAAACACAATTAGATGAATATTATCAATTTGTTCGTTTTTTAAAGACTGCATATTAACATAACTTACTTTGACATTTATTTTCAGATTTGCCGACGTATTTTCCAAACATATGAAGATGTTCCTCATTGGTCTGTACGTTTTAGCAACCGCGGCATTCCTTTGGCTGAATCTCATACTGAATGGTGTGATAGAAAATTCTCTCAGTAAGTTTATATACATATTCATAAGTCTTATATGTTTGCCTTATCGAAATACAACAGCTGAGAACTCTTACCATTCAGTAGCACGTGATTTTACTTGTAATTTTTAGTTACTTATTATTTTTTTTACATATTTTGTCATAGTGTGTTCTATTTTAAAAAAAAAAATCAGATTTTGTTAGAATGTCGATTTCTTTCTTTTTTGTACCAAATGTTAAGTAAGTTATATTGAAAATTTTAAAAATGGTAGAAATGATAACATCTGTTTTACATGATCCCTGTTTGTATCATTCAGTCCAGATTTACGCCTCCATAATTATTGGAACTCTATGTGTGAATGCCTCGCCGCCATTATTCTTTGAGATGGCGTGTGAGAATTCCTACCCTGTCGCTGAAGGCATCACCAACTTCGCTCTTACTTTGCTCTTCAACATCGCAGGTTTAATATTCCTTGGCATCCAGATGGTACCTAATATTGGTAAGGTTGATATGTCAAGATCAAATATCATTCTTTTATCCGTGTTTTAGTTCAGTTTTAAAATTTGTTAATGTTTATTATCCGACCCTATTAACAGGAGAACTGATATAAGAATTTTCATTAACATGAAATTGGGAATATGTTTTAAAATATTGAACCAACTACGCCATATTGACACCATGACCTAGGAAGACAGTAATAGAAATGGAAAAAGTCACGCTTGTTACCTCTTTGAAAAGCTACCCCTGTTTATCGTGTAAAGATCATGGTAAAGCGCTGATGTAGAAGAAATTGCCATGTCCTCGATTTCAAAGCTAGGGGTACATATGAGGAATTTCGTGATGTTAAAAGAGTGACATTGAGTAAATTGGCTGGGTCCTTTCTAATTATTTCTATAATTAATTAATTCAGTATTGCATGATAACAAAAACTTCCTAGAAAGGGGCATAATAAGTTCTCAAGGGTCTGTTGTAAGATGTGATTAACTCGAAATTCAATAATCCCCACATCTAACGGTTTTATTGTGAAGATATACATAATTATTGTAAACGTGTTTTACATGTAGTTCCCAGAGAATAAAGTTAATAAAAACATTTCTTTTGAGATTGAGTTTGATTATAGTTTGGAATTTTCCCCCATAAAGTTATTTTAGGAATAATTGACCAAAACACATTCCTAGATTTGTCAAGAGATATCAAGTTGCAGTGCAATTTCACAAACATTTGATAGGAGCCGAATGAAAGTTTTTATAACACAATATGTAGAAAATTTCAGTGTAAAGTTTCGATTACAACGTACACAAGATGGTAACAATGAATTGTGGTCGATTCACTACGCTTTGTTAAACATCGTTTGTCATATAGGAACTTCTATTGTATTGTAATGCTCCGAAATGTTTGATAGAAGTCTGCTTGTAGTTTACCATAGTAAAATCGCTGTCGGATACTTTCTGAGCTCGGTTTTTAAAATTATTATAATTATGTTTTCTGTTAAAGGGACGGCCTGGGAGAATTGGGTCCTGCTCGGCTCAGTTGTAGTGTCCATTCCTGTACTCCTGGCCATGAACGACACCTATAATCGGCTTAACATGGACGAAGGCAGTAGCAACAAAAACCCTGACAAGAAGATAACGCATTGATGGATATTTCTATGTATGATGAATCAGAAATACGCAGCTTTCATTATCAACGTTCTGAATTATAACAAGCTACTATTGCCAATCACTTTTCAACAAATGCTATTTATTATTTTTTTTCTTTTTTATTTTAACACAATTTAAGTCTGTAAATATGATATATATATATCAATCTCGATTAATATAATTCCGATACGCCATTATTATATTCTATGGGTACCGGCATGTGTATGTTCTAAAATCTACGAGTGAATCTCTCTCTCTCTCTCTCTCTCTTTTTCTCTCTCCCTCCCTCCCTCCCCCTCTTTCTCTCCACCCCCTCTCTCTTCCTCCCCCCTCTCTCTCTCTCTCTCTCTCTCTCTCTCCTATGACTTATTTTTCGAAATGATACTGGGTACTTTCTGCTGCTTAAGGATGCACGATGATAGCATGCGTACTGTTCATGTTTAGGGGATTTTTTACCACACCTCTAACACAATTCCTTCATGTTTAGGGGATGTTTTACCACACCTCTAACACAATTCCTTCATGTTTAGGGGATGTTTTACCACACCTCTAACACAATTCCTTCATGTTTAGGGGATTTTTTACCACACCTCTAACACAATTCCTTCATGTTTAGGGGATTTTTTACCACACCTCTAACACAATTCCTTCATGTTTAGGAGATGTTTTACCACACCTCTATCACAATTCCTTCATGATTAGGGGATGTTTTACCACACCTCTATCACAATTCCTTCATGTTTAGGGGATGTTTTACCACACCTCTAACACAATTCCTTCATGTTTAGGGGATTTTTTACCACACCTCTATCACAATTACTTCATGTTTAGGGGATGTTTTATCACACCTCTGTCACAATTCCTTCATGATTAGGGGATGTTTTACCACACCTCTAACACAATTCCTTCATGTTTAGGGGATTTTTTACCACACCTCTATCAAAATTCCTTCATGTTTAGGGGATGTTTTATCACACCTCTATCACGATTCCTTCATCACAATTTATGAATAGTTAAAAGGTAAATAATATATTAATATAAAAACGAATTGAATTATCCAAATATGATACATCTACTAGAACGCATAACGATGGCGCTTTTGTTTCACTTTCAACATACCAGCATATATAAAATTGTACTACACTGCCCTCGAGTACACAGTAGAATTATATTTTTGTAATAATAAGGCATTAGTCTTAAATGAAATTCATTAAAGACGACAGATAAATACGAATAATTAAACATGGTTGTCAGAAACAAACCTTCGAACTCTTTTCTTTGCTAATTTCTTAAACCACTGCATTACCCAAGCAAACGTTATGTTACAAAACAGTTTTTAGGCTATGATGTGAAAATATTATAAATGGCATATAAAAAGTCTGTTTCATCGTTGATTAGATAATAAGAACATACATATTTACCCTGAAAGCCCCGATCACCGATTAAGACTTGTAACATCCTATCTCTACATAAGAACGATAAAGATAACATATGAGACAAATCGAGATGAGGCGGGGACCTTGATTTTAGTTGAGCATCTATTGATATGGGACATACTGACCCTACACTGCAACAAGTACAACCATTCTCGACACTCCAAGGGTTACGCTCACTATCGTTCTTTGCACCCCTGGAAGATGTCATGGCAAAATTGAAAGCACAAGCCAAGTAATTTGGTTGGTCTAGAGCGGGCTCCGGGAGAAAAAAAACCTGACCAAGCACAGACTTGTACGCTCCTTTTGAAGATTACAAAGGAGCGACATCCAACTACAAAGCCATTACAATATACAATTGTCCACCTCGAGATTCGCGTGATGTACCTCATATATCAAACTAGTCTTGTCCACAAGGTGTCGCACATGAAACCTTCAATTATGCCAAGATATGTTCCAGGGGTGTAGGGAGCGACAGTGACCCCTGAAATATAGAGAATGCTGGACAGTATGTAACAGTTTGTCTCACATGGTCTGTGACGATTAAACTGTGTATGTTCGTTTGGGTTTACTGGACATAAGTTGCTGTTCAAATATCGCATCGTTAAATATATGAAGAAAGAATCTGTTTATTTGGATGGATATAGCTGTTGCTTTAACATACTAGCTTCATGAAATTATCTTAAGTACGGTATCATAGACATAGTTAATGAATGATATTTTTCACGTCTTCAATGGTTTTGTAATGATTAAATCATCAAAGAGTTTCAATATTTACAGATAAACATCAACAATAGCACAATAAATCACACCAACACAATCACATTTTCTAAAACTTTCCTAACAAAATCGTACTGGACTACAAGCAATGAAAAGGATTTTCATTCCTCCTATTTTTTTTTTTTTTTTTTTTTTGAAGCAGAAGACGCTTACTCTTCCGGAACACCTGGTCTTATTCTCCTTGTACTTTTTTCATGAGTCTGCGTGTAAATCTTTCTTTTGTTCATATGTTGCCTTAGTTCGATCGAATATTGAGTTTGTATTATGTTTATGTTGTCATTTTGGTATTTCGTGAGGCTTTTGGTCAATTTTAGGCGAATGAAGTGTATAATTAGGAAGAATATCGCTAGTCCTTTAGTCGTATTATAACGATCAACATTGGAAAAAAATAAAGTCAATTGCTATGGCAAATGTTCTAGATTACTTTCATAACCAAGATAGGATGGCGCAGCTAATACATAAAGGATTTAATGCACCAAGATGAAAGTACGTCAATTACAACAACAACTTTTAACAAAATAATGATAAAACAATGTCAAAACATTAAATGAACGACACCTTGACCTTGTATAACCCAGCAGGTTAGGAACATTTAAGATGACGTTATCAGTCAACAGGTAAGATAACGGTACAGTGATATATGATATTACCACGAAAATTTATATCATTAGTTTGGACGAAGATGTTTCTTACATTTTTTGTGTCTTTGCTATTCAAATTATGAAATTTCAACACATTAGTAAAAAAAATCTGGCGGGAGTAGGGGTAGGGAGCAAAACAAACAAATTACAAAATACACATAATAGAATACCGAATTATCAACGAAAAGAAGTAAGTGTTTACACAGAAACTCATTCAAAAAACAGAAGGGTAAACAATTCTGAGTCATTGACTACAAAGTTCAAAGATAAGCGGATGAAATATTTTGTTTGCTGACTGGCAGTCGATGGATATTCGTAATGCATATTTAGTGTTTTAATGGTGAGGCGTTGATCGAATTCGTTGACCCTATGCAATAGAAAAAAAAATCTTTTGGCAGGTCAATACTAGACAATAAATCATCAAAACAGGCTATCATCTTGTAGTACACGAGGAGTAGCAGGCCATGAGCTTGACCGACAAACCAGGAAGATAAACTTTCTCAATATTGACAAACAAGAGCAAATCTAACACTATTAATAAGTATACTAACAAACCAACCATGATCACTTGACCCTAGAGTACAAAATAATGTGGATGACTTTACCACCACCATCTGTCCTCAGCACTGACAGATTAGATACGTGATGTTTGTGTATCAACAGGTTCAGTCAAGAACTAGTTCAGATGTGGCTGTTTTCCCAGGTTAAACTTGTATTTCTCTGTGATCATTGTCCCTTGCCTACCAACATTTATAGCGTGGGTGTGTCATGATTCCTAAATCAGTATTTTATCAACGGATTGAATCATAATTTATCGCTGTTATAAGTTTCAGTGAATTTATGATATACATGGAATTAGAGAACAGTTCACAAGCAATTATGGTAGCTTTTAATAACAAGGACTCTCCTAGAATTATTCTGAAATCGCTCGTTAATCAGAACGGCCATATAAACAATGGTTTCAGTACAGATGTTCCTACAGTATCTCAAATAGAGAACGGTCTGATCACAAAAGACGAAGACCTGCCGGGTGAGGAAACTCAAGTGTATAAAAGAAGGTGGTATATTCTCTTTGTGTACTGCTTGCTGACGCTGACACAGGCAATGCTCTGGAACACGTGGGGCCCTATAGCAGCCTCAAGCCACAAGGCTTTTGGATGGAGTGATGGAGATACTGCGCTTCTTACAGATCTAGGACCTATAGCGTTTTTACTGGTTGTATTTTTATTCTCATGGATTGTTGATGAAAAAGGTAAGTATTAATTTATATATTTGAAAAAAGTTGAATATATTGATATTAAATTGATATAGAAATATGGTTACCTCGTTTTCCTTTGAAACAATCCGGTAAAGTATATGGGCACCATCTATAATCGACATTCTGTCAAATTATCAGAGATATACAAAAGTCCATTTTGTGATCTCCGTGGAAAGAAAATACAAAAACTCTTTGCTTGAATCAGATGGTAAAACTTTGTAATTAACCTACCTTCACAGTTACTAAGTATCTGCTAAACATTTATTGTCCATAAGATCGTACAATTGTCAAGAGAGTAAAAGGTTTCTCTGCGAATTTTGAATTAGATGCAGTATTGCCAAATAAAAACGGCATCATAAAGCTGCTTCGTCCTTCTGGACATGTCAATGATACTAAGAGCCTAAACTGAGAAACCTTGAAGGAGAAATTCTAAATCCACATGAAGAAACGTGAACATCAAATGAAGAAGTTTCATGTTATACAATAGTATATATTTTCATTCGAACGTCAAGAACATAAGTACAACCCTGAACCTTGTCACTATCCAAATGAATTAAAATGTAGCATGCAGGTTTCGACAAATCATGGGAACTGAAGTCTACCACCTGCAATCTCGAAGATTGTATAAAAGGCATGCATGCATCTTCCAAATACAAACAGAAATAAAAAGAGTATTGCTAAATAAGGACTTAAAATGCATCATTCACACTTAATATTTTGTTTTTGGGGCTGGGCATAGAAAGAGAGCGACCAGTTATCATTTAATGGTTGTTAACAATGCAGGGTTACGATGGGCCTGTGTGCTGACGGCTCTAGTCATGATGCTAGGAGCTGGTGTTAGATGCATCACGGACAAGTCCCCGTATGTGAAGATCACAGCTGGGATAGGTCAGTTCCTGAACGGTATCGGTACTCCTGTTAGTATGGGCGTGCCCCCTGTTCTGTCAGCAGCATGGTTTCCAGCCAATCAGAGAACACTTTCAACCGCCATAGCAACAGTCGCCAACATGGCAGGGATCGGTCTATCCTTTGTAATAGGTATTTTTTTTAAATTACAGAGGACAGATACATCAACAGCCAATCATTATCGTTGTTTATGTAAAATGATATCATATCTAGACTATTTGCATAGTAAGGACACTGTTTAAAGAAACGACTCAGGTCAAGGTTATAAGAAAGAGTCACTCCAGCCTTTGATAGAAAATAGATTGATTTTGTGAGCGTATATGTTGGAGAGAGAGAACCAAATAGAAAAGCTTGACGGTTGCGGTCAGATAAAAATTTAATTTATAATTATAAAAGTTATAATTTAATAATACATTCGCCATGAAAGATTTGTCCACACTTCCTATAAAAGTCCTAAAATTGTTTATTCAACCATCTTTTCAATGACTTTTTCTGTTTTTATTAAAACATTTATATACAATATTCAATTTTCCATCGGTTATCGCCATTATTTTCTAACATAACACGTACTTGAGAAGATAAAACAGAAGCAAAGATATGGTTATTTTTCCGTTAACTTGTTTTTTCTTTCAATGCTTGACATCATTAAAAGACGTGTCTTCACATAGGAGGAATTCCGTTATCCATATACATGTACATGGTTCACGTTGTCCATACTTAAGTATTCACATCTAAACTAATCAATTATGACGACATAAAACTCTACTCTTAACAAAATTTCACTCAACAACATCATTCTGTTTTCAGGTCCATTCATGGTTCCGGACGAAAACAAGTAAGGAAAGAATTAAGGTCTAATCTACAATTGCTATAAATAATAAAGCATGTTAATGGTTGATTTTCAACGATTTAGAAATATTCTAAATTCTTTATTTTCAAAAGAATGATAAAGTAACTTATGTTTATTTTATATTATTATTTACACTGAATACAACAGATTTAAAAGCACGTTTAGTTATAACGATAAACACAGCAGCGTTATTCTTTGTTTTAGACTGAAACAAATCATAAGCTCAATTTTCACATTTTAATTTTAGTGTAACGAGAAATATAGAGAACAATACCTTTAAAGCAGCAGAGGTCGTCTTGAGAAACACCAGTAAGTAATCTACTGATATAACACAGAAAATACCGACAGAATCTTTATTTTAACTTAAATTCAATAAATCAAAGATGAAATACACTGAAAATCTTTTTAAAAAATACAAGGAGATTAAGATCATGTGCTCCGGAAGAGTAAGCGTCTTCTGCTTCACCGGCGACACCCGGCATATTAATCATGGTCTGTCCACTTTCTCACACGAGAACAATGTATACAACAATAGAATCAACAGGTAAACTAACGAGCATCAACCACTTGTTTCATATCGCACAAGTAAATTGAATATTTCTCCAGTGGAATCGTCATGATAAGGATAAAACTGTCCATTGGAGACATGACTCCTAAACCTAAAAACGCTAATCGGAATTAGAACTTGATATTGATGGAACATAACCACGCTTGTTGAGATATCTTTATCACTCAGTCATTTACATGTTTGACAGATGTCTCTTCAGGTTGGCTACTGGTGATACCTGCTGTTGTTAATGACGTCATAATTGTATCGTAGATGATTGCATAAAAGTCATACAAGTGAATAACAACTTTCAATATGGATTTAGAATAAAATGTCATATCTTGTCAAATAAGGATGAAAATTGTTCTTCTCCATGTTAATATGATAATGGAGGGCAAATAGGTATTATTATGCGAGGTCTACACATGGTATAGATTATATTGATATATTTAACCAAACATCTACATGAAATAATGCATACTAATACAATGATATTTATATTACAGCTAGTTTAAATGAAGAAACAGGTCTGAAAAAGAGAAGGCAAATTATGAATCTTTTATATACAGGTAAGCTATTGTCATTTACAGGTAATCATATGTTTTACATGCAGGTACGTATATAATTGCATATTGTACAGGCCGTGTTATTCCATCGGTTCAGATTTGTAGTTTTACCGTATGCTTGAAGTGGACGGGATATATTTTTCATCAGTCTACATGATTCACATTTATCCCATCGTGCAGCGAACTTACGAACATTCATGACCGACAACATTTACGGTAGATAGTGACGCGAAAATCACGAACACTCGAGACCAACATACATCACAGTAGACAGAGCACGAAAATCACGAACCCTCGAGACCTACAACCTTTACAGTAGATAGAGCACGAAAATCACGAACCCTCGAGACCTACAACCTTTACAGTAGATAGAGCACGAAAATCACGTACCCTCGAGACCTACAACCTTTACAGTAGATAGAGCACGAAAATCACGTACCCTCGAGACCTACAACCTTTACAGTAGATAGAGCACGAAAATCACGTACCCTCGAGACCTACAACCTTTACAGAAAATCACGAACCCTCGAGACCTACAACCTTTACAGTAGAGCACGAAAATCACGAACCCTCGAGACCTACAACCTTTACAGTAGATAGAGCACGAAAATCACGTACCCTCGAGACCTACAACCTTTACAGTAGATAGAGCACGAAAATCACGAACCCTCGAGACCTACAACCTTTACAGTAGATAGAGCACGAAAATCACGAACCCACTACACCTACAACCTTTACAGTAGATAGAGCAGCGAAAATCACGTACCCTCGAGACCTACAACCTTTACAGTAGATAGAGCACGAAAATCACGAACCCTCGAGACCTACAACCTTTACAGTAGAGCATGAAAATCACGAACCCTCGAGACCTACAACCTTTACAGTAGATAGAGCACGAAAATCACGAACCCTCGAGACCTACAACCTTTACAGTAGATAGAGCACGAAAATCACGAACCCTCGAGACCTACAACCTTTACAGTAGATAGAGCACGAAAATCACGTACCCTCGAGACCTACAACCTTTACAGTAGAGCATGAAAATCACGAACCCTCGAGACCTACAACCTTTACAGTAGAGCACGAAAATCACGAACCCTCGAGACCTACAACCTTTACAGTAGATAGAGCAGCGAAAATCACGTACCCTCGAGACCTACAACCTTTACAGTAGATAGAGCAGCGAAAATCACGTACCCTCGAGACCTACAACCTTTACAGTAGATAGAGCACGAAAATCACCTTTACAGAGACCTACAACCTTTACAGTAGAACGATCAGTAGAGCATAATCACGACCCTCGAGACGTACCCTCGAGACCTACAACCTTTACAGTAGATAGAGCAAAAATCACGTACCCTCGAGACCTACAACCTTTACAGTAGATAGAGCACGAAAATCACGTACCCTCGAGACCTACAACCTTTACAGTAGATAGAGCACGAAAATCACGAACCCTCGAGACCTACAACCTTTACAGTAGATAGAGCACGAAAATCACGAACCCTCGAGACCTACAACCTTTACAGTAGATAGAGCACGAAAATCAACCTTTACAGTAGATAGAGCACGAAAATCACGTAACCTCGAGACCTACAACCTTTACAGTAGAGCACGAAAATCACGAACCCTCGAGACCTACAACCTTTACAGTAAATAGAGCACGAAAATCACGAACCCTCGAGACCTACAACCTTTACAGTAGATAGAGCACGAAAATCACGAACCCTCGAGACCTACAACCTTTACAGTAGACCTACAACCTTTACAGAGACCTACAACCTTTACAGAAAATCACGAACCCTCGAGACCTACAACCTTTACAGTAGATAGAGCACGAAAATCACGTACCCTCGAGACCTACAACCTTTACAGTAGATAGCGCCCGAAAATCACGTACCCTCGAGACCTCCAACCTTTACAGTAGATAGAGCACGAAAATCACGAACCCTCGAGACCTACAACCTTTACAGTAGATAGAGCACGAAAATCACGTACCCTCGAGACCTACAACCTTTACAGTAGAGCAGAGTAGATAAACACCCTCGAGACCTACAACCTTTACAGGAAAATCACGTACCCTCGAGACCTACAACCTTTACAGTAGAGCACGAAAATCACGTACCCTCGAGACCTACAACCTTTACAGTAGAGCACGAAAATCACGAACCCTCGAGACCTACAACCTTTACAGTAGATAGAGCACGAAAATCACGTACCCTCGAGACCTACAACCTTTACAGTAGATAGAGCACGAAAATCACGAACCCTCGAGACCTACAACCTTTACAGTAGATAGAGCACGAAAATCACGTACCCTCGAGACCTACAACCTTTACAGTAGAGCACGAAAATCACGTACCCTCGAGACCTACAACCTTTACAGTAGATAGAACCCTCGAGACCTACAACCTTTACAGTAAAATCACGTACCCTCGAGACCTACAACCTTTACAGTAGATAGAGCACGAAAATCACGTACCCTCGAGACCTACAACCTTTACAGTAGAGCACGAAAATCACGAACCCTCGAGACCTACAACCTTTACAGTAGATAGAGCACGAAAATCACGTACCCTCGAGACCTACAACCTTTACAGTAGATAGAGCACGAAAATCACGTACCCTCGAGACCTACAACCTTTACAGTAGAGAGACACAACCTTTACAAAATCACGTAACCCTCGAGACCTACAACCTTTACAGTAGAGCACGAAAATCACGAACCCTCGAGACCTACAACCTTTACAGTAGATAGAGCACGAAAATCACGTACCCTCGAGACCTACAACCTTTACAGTAGATAGAGCACGAAAATCACGTAGATAGAGCACGAAAATCACGTACCCTCGAGACCTACAACCTTTACAGTAGATAGAGCACGAAAATCACGTACCCTCGAGACCTACAACCTTTACAGTAAATAAACACGAAAATCACGAACCCTCGAGACCTACAACCTTTACAGTAGATAAACACGAAAATCACGAACCCTCGAGACCTACAAACTTTACAGTAGATAGAGCACGAAAATCACGAACCCTCGAGACCTACAACCTTTACAGTAGATAGATTAAATACGTTGATACCTTATTCTCTGTATTTTAATTCTTAAGTAGAATGTTTTGCAGAAGAAACACAACAAAATTAAATGGCGGTGAAAAGGTTTTCAAAGTCGACCTGGCATATTATTGTAACGTCACTATTACAAGTTTGATATCAACGATAAAATCAGCAACTCACATGTTTATACAAGAAATATCTATGTAGTGAATTTTGTATACAGTTTTTTTAATAATTTTTGTTTTTTTGTTGGTTTTTTTTTCACTTAAAAAACCGGGTTTTTTGACAAATGACATGCGCGGTTTCAGACGAGAGCTTTCTTTCTGGAATTTTGTTTCGTCTGCGGGTTTGACGTCATTCATTTTCATCAACTGTCTTTCTTATCGTTTGTAACAATATTGAATTCGAAAATTTGGTCTTGGGTGTTGGCAAGGAATAATTTTATTGTCTTGTAATTTATTGTAACTCAATAACTTAACTTGATGTTCATTTATGTACTATTTCAATTAAAACCTTTTTCCTCTTTTCAGAATGCGGTTGGACTGTTGGTATATTCTTATTGTTATTAATATATTTCCCTGCCAAACCCTATAAACCTCCTAGCTTATCCGCATCCACAGACAGGTTGAACTTCGTGAAAGGATGCAAACAGCTGCTTCGGTAAGTACTTGATAATTCAATCATCCAGGTCTCCTCGATATAAAATCTTAGTACAATAACATAAACGACCTACGTGCTTGGTACGCGCTGCATATAATATTTAGTCCAGACAATACGATTGGAAAGTGTGGGAGAAAATGTCTTTTGCTAAATTAAACAAAATAAAAAGTACCCATGTGATGAGAACAACATCGTACGCGTCACATGGAAGTGAAAAACTCTATTGACGAAGCTGTTGTTTTAATTATCATTTTTTGTAGTGTTGGCGTCGCTAATTACATAGACTTTTTCATGATATATTTATTAACCAGGAATGGTGTATTCTGGGTAATCGCCTGCTCCTATGGTATCTCAGTCGGTGTATTGGGAGCCTGGCCGGGGGTGTTGGAGATTGTCCTCAAGCCTCACGACATCTCAGAGGTAAGACTTCAATTGCAATCAAACCTCAGAGCTAAGTTTTAACATTACGATCTCTGAGAGGCAATTAGGCTTCAAACAACATCTAACCTCATAGCTAGACATCAACCTCATGATATAAGAGTGGCAGTTTGGCTTCAAATAGCAGATTTTCACAGAAGCTAGACATCAACCTCACGATGTCTGAGAGGCAATTTGGCCTCAAATGTCAGATTGTCACAGAAGCTAGACATCAAACTCACGATGTCTGAGAGGCAATTTGGCTTCAAATATCAGATTGTCACAGATGCCAGACATCAACCTCACGATATATGAGTGGCAATTTGGCTTCAAATATCAGATTGTGACAGAAGCTAGACATTAACCTCACGATGTCTGCGAGTCCTAAAGAGTTGGCTCTCGTGGTATCGCTGAAATTTTTCCGAATATCTGTTGAACTGTTGGTATATTCTTATTCTTATTATTTTTTTTTTTTTTTGTTTTGTTTTGTTCAAATTGGAGATTATATCATTTTTTTGTAGAACGAGGCTGGTCTAATCGGCATGTACTCCGTCGTGGCTGGGATACTTCTTTCCCTTGTCGTTGCCAAGTAGGTATTGTTAAAATCATACAGAAACAAGATTGACAATAAATGGAATGAAAACCATGTTACGTGACCTCTCCATAATCCATCACCATTCCTTATATTACTATTATGTCTCATAAAATGTCTGATATTCTTTTCTTCTGAAGTCTTTTTCCAATCAAGAAAATACCTGTAATGTAATTGTTTGTGTCGTATAGAAACAGAAAGATTATCAAATCACCGGGTATATGTATTGGACAAACTACTCATGAAGTATCGTTTTCTGTTTCGATTCTGAAAGTATTTTGATTTAACTGTGCATTAAGAGTTAATTCTTTCTATGGATCAGGTGTTCGGATGTGTTTTCTAAAAGGAAGAAAACGATCTTACTTGCCTTGTACATGACTAGTGGTGCGTTTGCACTGTGGATGAACCTCCTGCTCGCGCGGGCGATACCCGACTCCTACGGTAAACAGTACACAAATTGTCTAATATAGTTCACTTCTAAATTTATATTTGATTCATATGTGTATTTTATTTTTCAAGCCTTTCAGTAGTCTTGTATTTTCTGTCTTTTTCATGCACATCGTATTCGCCATTCTGACAAACGCAGTACATTTTGCAATATCATTTACATGTGTTTTAACAACATATGGCTATCCTTTTTAGTATCAAAAAGTGGCTTTATTTTTGTAGTTTCAATTCACATATCCTGTGTGGTCGGGGCCGCTAGCCTTACTGCTACAACACCCGTGTACTTTGAGATGGCCTGCGAGACAACCTACCCTGTGGCAGAGGGAATCACCAATTTCGTTCTCACTCTCGTCAACAATGTCGTCAGTGTGGCGTTCTTAGCCGTCCAGACTATTCCCAGTGTTGGTAAGTATACGCCAGTATAAGCCTTAGGCTAATTCAATTCTTCTGCTATTCTATAGCTAATTCGTTAAAGCTGTTTCCGACAAAATTTAAACCTTTCTAGAACAGTTTTGAGATATCGAGATATTTTTTGTAATTCACACAATGTCGGGTATGTTTAATGACCAGAATTTTCCACACAAAAACCATCTGATGCAGAAAAGTTTGGTGTTTCACGAGGAAAATAGATTTAAGTAAGTGACTATTTTCTAACTGCTGAAATGGTCGTTTTGTGATCCAATCTATCTATATTTCTGTTTTAGGTACATCTTGGGAAGGATGGAGTCTCTTTGGTGCGGTCATCATGTGTTTACCAGGCTTAATATTTTTGAAAGAACGAACAAATCGGCTTAATGTGGATGAAAAAGAAAATTGTAATGCTCAATGACCAGGTTTCTTCGTCATCATTATCATCATCGTCGTCGGTTTTCTTCTCTCTCTTTAGCCTCGTCGTCACCAAATATGTCTGCATAATATTGAACTGACGTTACAAACACTGGAATTGACGTTACAAACGCTGTCTACTTGTCAGTGTTGCATGTTCCTCTAATATCAATAAATGCGAAAGTGGTCGATGTTCATTACAACAACAGGGAATTCGTGCCAAGTCCCTGTGTTTACAACTAGTGTTGTCTCTGGATCATAAATGTCTCGTGCATCACAGAAATCATTACATGATTACAGTGTACTACCACACTTAAAAGTTACTATAGACTGATACTGTAACTAAAGTTAGAATCTCCGTATGGAATTTCAAAAGATCTAGCAGGTGCTTGTCAAACAAGAGGCCCTCACGGTCCTCTGAATTGATCAATGTTGAATTTAAAGGTTAAAGGGTAGTTATCAAGTGTCATGATGCAGAAATTGTCAGTGTCAATGCATGCATACCACCAAATCTGTCATCCTATACTAACAATTCTGAGAAAGTCATTTCCAGTAGAAACCTATTTTGGTAATTAAAGCACTTTCCATGTTTTCATTCATACAGAGAATTGGATTCTACCATACCTATGTGTTGAGAAGGAGATTAGCCCCGCCCATCAGCCCTTTTGGGGTCAGTCAGGATCAATATGGGAATACTATCAAGCAGTCATCCTTCGCTCATTCTAACCAAGTTTGAAATATTTCCAATTGAAATTAAACAAATTACGCCCTAAAATCTATTTTTTCCCATTTGAACTTCATTAAACTTGACCCCCTCCCCATAGGGAATTGCAAGACCCTGGGGCCATGAAATTCACCATTTGGTAAAGCACCTTAAGATGCTTCCAATCATGAAGAGTATTTGATTCTACCATGTATGGGTGTTGAAAAGAAGATTTTTGAAATTTAGGTCAATTTTACCACTTTTGGCCCCATCCATGAGCCCCTGGGTGTCAGTCAGGATCAAAATAGGCATACAATAAAGCTGTCATCCTTTACGTATAATTCTAACCAAGTTTGAAATGATTCCAATGAAAATTACACAAATTATACTCAAAAATCTAGTTTTCCTATATAAACTTTAGTCAAATTTACCCCCTCTCCCAACGGATATTGCGAGACCCTGGGGCCATGAAATTCACAATTTTAGTAAAGCACCTTAAGATGTTTCCATTCAAGAAAAGTATTTGATTCTACCATATCTAGGTGTTGAGAAGAAGATTTTTATTGAAATCCAAGTCATTTTTGTCCTGCCCCTGTGTGGTGGGGACTGTATAATTCACACTTTTGGTTCATGTAGGACTGGAGTAGATTTCTGCAAAATTTCATAGAAATCTGATCAGGAGTTTTTGAGAAGTCTATGATGTCAAATTGTTTACAGACGCACGACACTTGATGAAGTTGATCTCAATAGGTCACCATGAGATTAAAAATAGTGATAACAAATTTTTGCTGTCAAAGTCTAAGGTGGCAAACTGTCAACCATTTTGTTTGTAAAGATCAATCCCAAAATCAAAAGGGTATAACTAGGGACCAAGGAGAACCTATAGTTCAGTAAATATCCATCAGGTACGTATCAAGAAATAGCGATAACAATTTATAGATGGATAGACGACAGACCACTGACATAGGATTTGAAAAGCCCACCCTCTAGTGATGGTAAACTGATAAAACTGCTAAAAATTTCACTCATGAGACTGCATTACACTTAATGTTGATTAGTTAATCACAAGAGTTAAAACGTCTATGTAATAATTTGACAGAGAGATCCATGAGGTATTTTGGCACCCAGCATTATTTGATCTTTATTGGTTCTATCTTGTATGTAATCTTTACTCTCCAATGGGAATCTTTCCACGAAATTTGAGTAAGTTCTATCAAGGAAGAAAAGAAGAAAGAAAGACTTAGAAAGAGAAAGAAAGAGAAAGAAAGAAAACAAGAGGCCCATGGGCCTTAACGGTCATCTGACAAAAAGCAAGCCAAACCTAGAAAGTGGGTTGAGGTCATTCATTTGAACAAACTTGGTAGCCTCTCCTCCAAGCATCTTACAGGCCCAATATCAGCACTCATGGACTTTTGCTTGTTGAGAAGAAGTCGTTTGTATATTTTAACATATTTGATGTGACCTTGAAAGTGGGTTGAGGTCATTCATTTGAATAAACTTGGTAGCCTTTCCTCCCAGCATGCTACAGACCCAATATCGGCACTCATAGACTTTTGCTTATTGAGATGAAGTCCTTTGTATATTTTAACATATTTGACCCCTGTGACCTTGAAAGTGGGCCAAGGTCATTCATTTGAACAAACTTTGTAGGGCTCCATGCCAGCATGCTATGGGCCAAGTATTAGCCCCCTAGGCCTGCTAGTATTTGAGAAGAAGTTATTTAAAGATTTTGACATATTTGACCCCTGCGACCTTGAAAGTTGTTCAAGGTCATTCATTTAAATAAACTTGGTAGCCTTTCCTCCCAGCATGCTACAGACCCAATATCGGCACTCATAGACTTTTGCTTATTGAGATGAAGTCCTTTGTATATTTTAACATATTTGACCCCTGTGACCTTGAAAGTGGGCCAAGGTCATTCATTTGAACAAACTTTGTAGGGCTCCATGCCAGCATGCTATGGGCCAAGTATTAGCCCCCTAGGCCTTCTAGTATTTGAGAAGAAGTTATTTAAAGATTTTGACATATTTGACCCCTGTGACCTTGAAAGTTGTTCAAGGTCATTCATTTAAACAAACTTGATAGCCCTTCATCCCAGCATGCCACAGGCACAATATCAGCAATCTGAGCCTTTTGGTTATTGAGAAGAAGTTGTTTAAAGATTTTAACATATTTGACCCCTGTGACCTTTAAAGTGGGTCAAGGTCATTCATTTGAACAAACTTGGTAGTCCTTCATCCCAGCATGTCACAGGCCCAATATCTACACTCTGAGCCTTTTGGTTAATGAGAAGAAGTTGTTTAAAGATTTTAACATATTTGACCCCTGTGACCTTTAAAGTGGGTCAAGGTCATTCATTTGAACAAACTTGGTAGAGCTCCATGCCAGTATCCTCTGTGCCAAGTATTAGCCCCCTAGACCTTCTAGTATTTGAGAAGAAGTCGTTTGAATGAAAAGTTTACGGACGGCGCACGGCGGACGACGACGGACGAAGCATGATGACTATAGGTCATCGGACCCTTCGGGTCAGATGACCTAAAAAGGCAAGCGATTTAAGACCCATTTAAAAAAGACATATAAGTTTTTTCATATATAGTTTATTTTGACAGGCATACACAATGTTGATAAGATAAAAATATCATGGTTTTCATGATATACTTGTTGTTAACAATGAATAAAAAGCTAGGTTCATCACACTGTCTAAAATGTTCTCATTGATCAACCTGTCAAAACTGTATATCAATTTTTGTGATTTTTTTTTTTTTTTTTTTTGAGCAATAAAGTTATGGTTTGAACAAAATAGCCTGATGAATTTTTAGATCACAATTATTCTTAAAAACTTGAGAGAAACTACCATTAGCACAAAAATATTTTAGCACAATAATTCAGCACTATATTTTCAGCACTCAATGTGCGAACACACGTTTACCAAAATGTGCGTGTTTACAGTATACATGTACCAAACCTAACACAAGAACACTGGAATATCTCACTACATTTGAGGGGAGATCGGAAATTCCAATCATTGAGGTAAAATTCTGAACACTTTTTGCCCAGAGCCATATAACATTTCTCATCTCACATTCAGATGAGGAATGAACTACCTTGACTTACGAATGGAACCTCCTGTTATCAACTTCAATAGCAACATAAGGAAAGTTCAGTACAATAAGGTATTTATCATGTTTAACAATCCAGTTATCAAAACTGTAAGAAGCCAGAAAGACAGTAAACAGTTCAACCTAACATTCCAGCTGCCATCACTTATGTTACAAACAAAACAAGCCCTATTAAAGACAGAGATGGACTGGGGAATACAGTCATATCACCAAGCATTCAATAAAGGTCACAGGATTTTGAATGAGTCAAAATTCTATATGAAATCGAACTTGTGCAACCTCTGGTGAATATTTCATGTGTACGATTTGATCACTGCTAGGTGCAGTTAGCGTTTCTTAGGAAGGTGAGACCATTCTGTACTGATGTGTTTCTCAGGAAGGTGAGACCATTCTGTACTGTTGTGTTTCTCAGGAATGTGAGACCATTCTGTACTGATGTGTTTCTTAGGAAGGCGTGACCATTCTGTACTGTTGTGTTTCTCAGGAATGTGAGACCATTCTGTACTGATGTGTTTATTAGGAAGGCGTGACCATTCTGTACTGTTGTGTTTCTCAGGAAGGCGAGACCATTCTGTACTGATGTGTTTCTCGGGAAGGCGAGACCATTCTGTACTGATGTGTTTCTTGGGAAGGTGAGACCATTCTGTACTGATGTGTTTCTCAGAAACTGGTGCAAACACCATGTAAAAAATACCTCACTTTTACAACAATCTATTCACATGGGGCAAAAATCATTGTATAAGTATGTACAATGTATAAAGAAACATCTTTACTTCCATATGTCTGCCATCATAATGGTCATTGAATAAAACCAAGCATTTAATGATGATGAGAGGAACAGGTTTCAATGAGATTCTAAGTATTTTCTGAGTATATAGAAAAATCTTCCTCTAGAAACATCATGACAAAAAAATGAAAACCCTGAAGTGTCATAAGTTAATCCATCAAACTCACAAAGGCCACTTTTGCTTTTGCAGAAAATCCTGCTTGTAGACAGTTTCAGCATGAATTCTCACTGACCAGCAGATGTCAATATTGTAGCAATACAGCCCTCAGACTGCATCAGATTTCTAAGACCTTCCTTATTTATAAACAACCCTAATCCAATTGGTCATCCTGGTAAATAAAACCAACCCCATATATCACAATTTTCATATATCTAACCTTTTTACTTATATGCAGGTATATACATGACTGTTTACCTAAACATATCTATTTATGAATACCTGTAAGTATAAGTATTTAACCATAAAATAACTAGCCACAAAAACTCTTAACACAAAGACACACCTAAACTACCGAGAGCATATTTTTTTCCTCTGAATCCAAACTCATTGTGTATTTATCATTGATACTGATTAAAAATCTGTGAACCCACATAACACAAATCACTATTCAACCATAATTTACTTTAAAAAATTTTCAAAAGAAAAGAGTGATTTTTACAACTTAAAGCAAACACTAGAAAGTGTCTACAAGAAATAAATGCCCTACTTTTGTACAATTGAGAATTTCATCAGCAACAGAACTTTATGCTTTGATACTACATGGTAAACATGAACCAAATCTATAGAGGTTTTCGCCAGATAGAACATGATTTTGGACAACATAGGACAATGATGGATGGACAGGCAACTCCATGTAAGTCCCCATTCCCTGCCACATAAAAAAACTTCTCAATACAAAACCCAGGTGATTTCACAGATAAATATTTCTCTTTCATCAATTCCAAACTAACCATCTCTAACAAAAAAACAGAGGAATGCCAACAGATTTTTCAACATCATATCTTAACTTGAACGAGCAATAAAGCCAAACTTTTCCGGCTGGTAGAAATATTTAATAATACACTGCACCATGTCCTGAAGTTCAGCTTCAGCACTTTTACGGTCCATCCTGCAAAATAGAAAAGTTTCAAAAACTTCAAATGTTTTCTTGAATACCATATGTCAGGTAATAAGCCCACCCATATCTATTGCTGTTTAGTAGAACTATTTCTGTGTGTAGCTAGTGATAAATCTTTGTCTGGTAATAAGCCCACTCACATCTATTGCTGTTAAGGAAGATAATTACGCTATTTATCCAGTGATACACCAGATAACAAGCCCACCCTTATCTATCACTGTTCAGCAGAATCACCAATCTATCACATTTCCTTATATGGTGATACAGCCATCATTACTTTAAATGGTGGTTATCTTTTGACTCCCTAGGGTCCTGTAAAGCAATCACCCTTACTTTGAATCAGATATTATGTGTTGGTCTCTGGGCTTATTGTCCTGTATTAAGCCCACTGCTGAATTTTAGTTCAAGGTTGTGTTCACCCCTGCGATCCTGTATCCAACCAATCTCTGACAAAGCTGTATCAGAGGTAAATACATACCCCGGGGTTGAGTTGGGGCTGTGTTCTGACACAGCTGTATCAGAGGGGGTAGGGTTGGGGCTGTGTTCTCACACAGCTGTATCAGAGGGGGTTGGGTTAGGGCTGTGTACCGACACAGCTGTATCAGAGGTATATACGTACCCAGGGGTTGGGTTGGGGCTGTGTTCTGACACAGCTGTATCAGAGGGGGTAGGGTTGGGGCTGTGTTCTCACACAGCTGTATCAGAGGGGGTTGGGTTAGGGCTGTGTACCGACACAGCTGTATCAGAGGTATATACGTACCCAGGGGTTGGGTTGGGGCTGTGTTCTGACACAGCTGTATCAGAGGGGGTTGGGTTAGGGCTGTGTTCTGACACAGCTGTATCAGAGGGGGTTGGGTTGGGGCTGTGTACCGACACAGCTGTATCAGAGGTATATACGTACCCAGGGGTTGGGTTGGGGCTGTGTTCTGACACAGCTGTATCAGAGGGGGTTGGGTTGGGGCTGTGTACCGACACAGCTGTATCAGAGGGGGTTGGGTTGGGGCTGTGTTCTCACACAGCTGTATCAGAGGGGGTTGGGTTGGGGCTGTGTACCGACACAGCTGTATCAGAGGTATATACGTACCCAGGGGTTGGGTTGGGGCTGTGTTCTGACACAGCTGTATCAGAGGGGGTTGGGTTAGGGCTGTGTTCTGACACAGCTGTATCAGAGGGGGTTGGGTTGGGGCTGTGTACCGACACAGCTGTATCAGAGGGGGTTGGGTTAGGGCTGTGCTCTGACACAGCTGTATCAGAGGGGGTTGGGTTAGGGCTGTGTTCTGACATAGCTGTATCAGAGGTATATACGTACCCTGTGGTTGGATCTGGACAGTGTTCTGTGTAGTACTTGATTTTTGGCTCTGTTCCACTAGTACGGAGCGTGGCAACACATCCATTCTCAAATGTGAATGTAATCATCTGACTAGACTTACTCACAGGTAAAAGCTGTAACATAAACAGGGGTGAGAATCAGTACCATTATAAAATTTCATATTTAAAAATCATAATGCTTAATTCTGACTTCAAGAAACATCTTAAACAACATCAATATCAAATAACTAATTGTACAAGACTGACAGATACACTTCTAAAAAGCCAATAAGACAATTTTGATAAACATTAATTCATAACCATAAGTCTAATTCCACACTCCAAACACTCATATGTCAATGCTAACTTCTGCCAACACACAAGCAGACGAGTGCTTTTATTCAGGACTCTATCGTTATCTTTGTTCAGCGTAATGAAGAACAAGCAGTCAATTAAAATTGAAGTGTTTCAAAAGGCAATCATTTCATAATTGACGTGTTTATCAATAACCAAACCAGGTCATTGTCTTGACCAATCTGTAGTTTTCTGTCTAGCCAGGACATTTTTAACACTTTGTCGTGATTTTGGGCGATGTTGACTCAGATAGTTCAAACTCTTAATTGCTCTTCACAAGCAAAATTTTGTATGCTTAATTTTTTTTGAATTGACTAAAGATTTACTGTATGTAACAAAGGTCATTATTTCCTTCAATGTCTTTATTAGGAATCAATTCCGAGACCTCTGATTTACTAGTCTTATTTTTTACAATCAACACTTTAATGTAAAAGAACTTACCGGTTTGTTGTTGGACTGACTGTTGTCATAGCCTACAGTAAGATCTCGGATATATTTAATTTTGTATGGACCACAACTTTCTGGATACTGTAATGTACAAAAAAAAAAAACTCAAATATATGCAACTGAGTGATGACGGTGTAAACCAGCTTTCTTTCACATGTGATTCCAAATTTTTGTGATTGACACAAATTTGTGAAAATTAATCACCACAAGTTCTGGATTCTCCTTTCTCCAGCCACACAAATCCAAAATAAATCACGAAAGAAAGTTGGTTTACTGTATGTTAAATTGGAAGCAAGATCATTAATTGCTTAAATTATAATCTTTGTTCATGTATCAATTACATGTACATATTTCTCTAACTGGATTGAATATTTATTGTAAAACTGTTCCTTTACTTTAAATTTCATATTAGTCACAACAATCATGAATGACATATCAACATTTTTAATCCTTATCCTCGGTATAGATGGAAACTTGCCTAGAGTCTTGAAGAGAGAAGAATGAAGAATTCCCAAAAAACACTAGCATTTGGGCAGGAGTCAAAAAATTCATTTCAAATTCAAGTGGTATATCGTTCCCTAATTGCTTAATGAAACCCAATTAAATAATTATCTACTGTGCCCTGCCTTGACCATTCTAAGGAATAATGACAAGACAATGGACGACCAAAATCCTGACAGCTTATAAACATAACAGAAGCAAACCAGTACAAATTCTCACCTTTCCCGTGTTATTGTAATTTCTAATCTCAGCAAACATTTTCTCTATTGTCGGAGGATCATGACAAATGTAGTAAGAGTTACTTGAAAGATGAAATCCATACCTGAAAATTGATCAAGAATTTTCCATTTCAGCATCACACCATTAACAGGTACACTTTTGCACATCATCTGTAGTCTTTTATTCAGGACAATTATTAAATTCACTGACAAAATTATTTTTCATTTTGTGCTGAATATGGCATCTTGCAAAGGGGAGAAGAGAACACGAAGTACGAATCTGAGGTGAAAACTAGTCATCACTTCAATAGTATATTCATATTCAATGTAGACTGGGCAAAATATCATGTTAATATATATAATTAATGAGAATTTCAAGATTTCAACCACGAAATCTTGCATTTATCTTTAGTCCAAATATTTCATTTGTGAAGTTTGCAACTTGTTTGGTCAAAAACAGTGACTGCCTCATCTTTTAACATCCTTCTAGGGAATTAAACCCCAAACATCTAAGTGAAAGGCATGTTACCACTGCAACACCAGATCATTATCTACCCATTGTATCTGAATATAGTGTCAGTATTCTGATTGTGTAGAATTTCTGTCTTACTCACATGATCACTTGGAGTTTTGCACCAAAAAACAAAGATAAATTTTTTGGAGCCAAGATGTTTATATCTACAACTTTCTATGGACTGACCTTCCTTCATGAGTAATCTCCCTTATAATGGATATTTCATATTTTATAATCAACAGTCGCAGAAGGCAGAAAGTTATCAATCATGTGTTAAAATTGAAAATCGTCTGAACCCTAACATAAGTACATCCTTACTTCTGGTATACATTGTTGAGCTGATCGTAGAGTGTAAGGCCTTGACTCTGCAGGTATAGTACCATTTGTCCCATAACAACAGAAGCGCTGACCCCATCCTTGTCCAGCACACATGATCCACACATAAAACCTGTAACAGTATACACATGGTTCTTCATCTTACTATAAACAAAGCACATAATTTGAAAAAAAAAAACAGAAAACATTTAACCTTGACATTTAACCTGGTGACCTTAACCTTGAAGTGTTAAACTCAATGTTGGTTAATGATAAGCATTGAATCATATCATTGTTGTGTTGTGTTAAGATATCATATTTGTATGACAGAACACAGAACAGGGAGGACAGGTTAAACTCTTCATTGCTCTAGAATAATAATTGAGGGTTAAAACACCTGTATTGCGAGAGGAACAAGGCCTTCTGGTTGATCTATGGAGCTACACGAAATCCTCAGACCCATACTTATACTACAGTGTCATTTCTTGTTGAAATAGAATTTCTTTTACCAGAAAATGACTAAATGTTAACCTGGATCATTGACATGGTGACCTTAACCTTTGATCATGCATTGCAAACTTAAATTGTGATAAACTTTTCATAATTTCACTGCAAAGTGAGGCTCCTGTAACAGAGGCTTAATTTCAGCTCATTGCAAACATCTCCGGTTGATGTCTAAAGTTTCTTGAGGCATTTGTAACTTTCTTACCAATAGCTTCCTCAAATGCAAACAGAACAGTTTTTCCCTCCTGTAGATGATCATGTGACCTGTTTCCCATCCACTTAAATCCTGTCAGGGTTTCCTATTGAATACAAAATAATTACTCTGATAAAACCTGCGACAAACTGATGTAAACACATCTTCATGTAAATACATACATTTTGATCCAGGTTTTCAGATCACATAATAGATAATTTGCTACTATGAGAACGTCAAGAATTTCTAGCTGTCTATTCACTTCAACATCCAAACATCCTTTTTTGTGGATGTCAAGGTGGTGTAATGTTTAAAGGCAGTTGTAGAATTCCTTGTCTAGGCGATTTGGTGCTACTGATTTTAAGATTAAGGACTGGAAAGGGCAAAAGTAAAACATTATACAAATATTAATGAAGAAGACAATGCATTAGTAATGTTGCTGATTTGAAGGATTCAGATTTGAATTATTATGTGTTACAGATGTACTGAAGTAATTCTTAATTGATAGATTCACACGCGATACATTTTCTAGCGCACCACTGTGTGATAGGATTTCACATTTTGTGCAATTTATAGAAAATGGTTGATTAATATTACGGATTGAAAATTAAACAGAATATTCATGTAGTTATGCCCAAATAATGACCATAGGTGTAATAAACATTATTCAGTAATTATAAAGGTAATTTAACATTGATCAAAATACAACCAGACTCTGTATTAGTTACTCTCTAGTGTATAGTTTCCACACCTCAGACAGTGTAACCTTGTACAATCCCCTCAATGAAACTAACTGAATAAAGAGTTACAGTTTTTCATGTTGCTTGATGCAACAAATGTATTTCTTTTCAATACTCACTTCAAAACAAAATCCTTCCTTTTTGGCGATACTTCCCAGGATCTTAGAAGATACTGTACTCGCTAGCATGTAAACATCCTTTGCTGCAAAGAATTTATTTAAAAAGTGATTCAAGCTAGAAATAAAATCATTTTCGTACAGAAATGTTGGTTGCAGGTTTTAGTTAGATGTGAGCAGAATCTTTCACAATATTATCCGTTGACTCTGAATGCACAACATTAGATCTGTCAAGTTGCTCCTCCTGCAGTCTCCTTGTGTATAAAACTGAGGGACTCACCAGGTGTATCAGGGTATTTCTGTCTGTAGTGAGTCCAGCTCCACCAACCAAATAATGCCCCCAATTCATTGCCCGAAAATATATGCCACTCTCCACTGAAATCATAGAACATTTCCAGAATTATACATCTTATACAGGTGCAATATTGAGATCATTGAATACAATATGACTTGCAATCTCACGAGGAAACCGCAGCCTTTATACTCCAGGGGTTACCAACTCCTCTATACTCCAGGGCCTACCTTGTTCTCTATACTCCAGGGGTTACCAACTCCTCTATACTCCAGGGCCTACCCTGTCCTCTATACTCCAGGGGTTACCAACTCCTCTATACTCCAGGGCCTACCTTGTTCTCTATACTCCAGGGGTTACCAACTCCTCTATACTCCAGGGCCTACCTTGTTCTCTATACTCCAGGGGTTTTTATCTGTCTACAGTTTAATATCAGTGTCTTTAATATCACAAATGAAAATTATAAATGATTTTTGACCTTATATAGACTGACCTTTTAAGTTTCTCAGCTACAGCCAGTCGATCTGCATCAGGATCATTAGCAAGAATCAGTTGGCAATTGTTGGCATCTGCTGTTGCCATTGCTAGTTTCTGCAGACACAAGATAACAATTAGTGTTCTTCATTTCTACCCACCTTTACTGTCATCTGAAAACTACAACCGTAGTAGTTCACTTTCAATAGGCCAATGTCTGGTAATAAGCCCACCCCTCTCTGTAGAGACATACAACCCAACCCCTTGACTTAAATTTTGTGTTGGCCCTCTTGACCTATTGTATCATATCATTTGATAGGAATCTACTCTACAGTTAATGGTTATTACCATGAGATCAGAGATGTCAATTTAACACCTCACCTACTGAAATATATTATCGTGGAGATCACTGCTTTATGACAAATGATTTCAGCATCCTTAGGTTGTTGAAAATATTTGATTGGTTCTGAATTTACAACTTTATAATTAATTTCTTTTAAATTGCAATAATTAATTTTGCAGGATTTGGTATGGGTAAATATATAATAAAGAAACTGCCATGAACTCCGAGAATCTAACATACGTACCAAAATTTCAATACACTTTCTCATTTAACATTAATGTGATAAAGACTCACCAAAGCACCCTTGCCTTCCTCCGGGTTCGGGTATTTAACTGTTGGGAAATCTGGATCAGCTTCTACCTGATAAGAACAGGGAAGATATTTCATCAATGAAAGTAACATAGCAATGGTGTGCTTCTACCTGATAAGACAGGGGAGATAATTCATCAATGAAAGTAACATAGCAATGGTGTGCTTCTACCTGATAAGAACAGGGGAGATATTTCATCAATGAAAGTAACATAGCAATGGTGTGCTTCTACCTGATAAGAACAGGGGAGATAATTCATCAATGAAAGTAACATAGCAATGGTGTGCTTCTACCTGATAAGAACAGGGAGATAATTCATCAATGAAAGTAACACAGTAATGGTGTGCAGATGCTGACAAAGCCTAAGAGACATATTGAACACCTTACTTCTTTTTCATGCACTTAATCAAATAAAAGGTTTTTTTCTCAAACACCCCTAAAAGCTACAACTACAGGTCTGATTCTTTCACCTGCAAATTACCTTTCATACTTTCATTCATTTTTTTGTTACATATTCTCTACATAGGATCTGACAACATCCCTTAAGGAGTCATGTTCAGTTCTGGTGACCTTTGCACCCTTTGTACTACACACAAGGCGATGCTAATTCTCACTCGTTACTCTCCACAAAGGAGTTAGAAAAGAATTCAGTATGTTAATCAGATTGACACCTAGGTTTTGTAAGCATGCTTGTGCAACGGCTCTCAAAGAGGAACTTTTGTTTGATTTTCTTGTTAAAGTCAATTCCATTTCTCTCTTTTCCAATCACCCACTTTTTCCTTTGTTTCTAAGAATGGAAACTAGTGTCATGTCTTTTTATAACACACAGTCCTTGTCAGGCCTTGAACATCTTATTATTTGTGTTGAAGGGTTATTACCTGTTCTAGGACGGGGATGACCTTCAGGTGACCCACAGTACGACAGGCCTCCTGGATGAATGGGTAGCCCACACCATGCATAGCTGTGTAGGTAAACACCAGGCTGGGGACATCATCACTGAAATATCAATTAGAAACAAGGTTTTTGTCTGTATTTCTCTACTTATTATCAAAATGTACGAGATCCTTGTATAATTATATGGATTCAACCAACACAGGAACCAAAATGTCAAAAATATACACAGTAAACAAAGAATAGTTTTAAAAAAAAAACCAGCAAGAATGGTTAAAAATTCAATTTCAAACTAGAAGTAGATATCAAGAAATTTTTAAAATACTTTAAAATCTTCAAATATTTGTTCCAGAATCACATTCTGAAAAGTTGTGAAAATGATCTGCTACGGAATTCATGTACAGCATAATAGTAGTAAAGGACTGTAAGAAGGACACATTTTCATGTCCTGTCTTACAGCCAGAAAACATTTTTATTGCATTTTTTCACCTGTCTAATTATTACAGTCCATTCTGAACTGACGTGTTCAGTAAGACAAACAAGGAGATAAGATCACAGCTGAACTACTTATATCTATTATACTTACTTAAACTGAACAAGTTTTGACAAGTCCTCGTTGTACTTCTGAAAGACATCTGGGTACGGGTCTTTGACCAGAGGACCGGAGAGGTCAGAGATTTCCCAGGATGTTGGAAGTGGTTCTAGACTTTCCAATATACTTTTGGCTATCCCTTTATCATGTGGACTGATGATCTATAAAAACAGGCTGAATTTTCATACATTGATTCCAGGATCAATTTTCTACACCCCCAAACACGAGAAACATGATAATTTTCCTACATCCCCAAACACTAGAAACAGGACCATTTTCCTACAATAATTCCAGGATCAATAATTCCAGGATCATTTTTCTACATCCCCAAACACGAGAAACATGATAATTTTCCTACATCCCCAAACACAAGAAACAGGATCATTTTCCCACACCCCACAAACACGAGAAACATCATTTTCTACACCCCCAAACACAAGAAACAGGATAATTTTTCTACACCCCTAAAACACGACAAACAGGATGATTTTCCTACACCCCCAAAAACTAGAAACAGGATCATTTTCCTATACCCCTAAACATGAGAAACATGATGTTGTTGACAATACTGTTCAGACTATTACATACAAATATATGCCAATCATTCAGTCTACAATGTATTGAAGGGTCTTTGATATTTTGATGTTGACCATGTAGTTTGTGATCGATTTTTGCACTGTCAAATTAAAATGAAATCGATTTTTGTACTGTCAAATTAAAATGAAGTCAATCACAAAATGGATAAGGCACATATAAATATTTCAAGACTGCTGTGACTTTTAAAGAAAGATAGTCCCTTGTGTCTATGATCTTGCAAAATGCTCAAGGTCATTCATTTAAACTAACATAGAAGAGAAAAGTTGACTATAGACAGAGGACACACCATAACATAAGTTTACTTACTTTACAGGCAGGTGAGCTAATAAATTTTAAATGTGCACTCCTACCTGTGATCCATTTCCCCAGTAAACTTTGTAGCCATTGTCTTCCTTTGGATTATGTGAGGCTGTCACCATGATACCACAAGCTGCCTTACACATCAACACACCATAGGCCTGCAAATAATGTAAACATCAACACACCATAGGTCTACAAATAATGTAAACATCAACACACCATAGGTCTACAAATAACATACACATCAACACATCATAGGCCTACAAATAACATACACATCAATACACCATAGGCCAACAAATAACATTCACATCAACACACCATAGGCCTACAAATAATGTACACATCAACACACTATAGGTCTACAAATAACATTCACATCAATACACCATAGGCCTACAAATAACATACACATCAACACACTATAGGCCTTCAAATAACATACACATCAACATATCATAGGCCTACAAATAACATACACATCAATACACCATAGGCCTACAAATAACATACACATCAATACATCATAGGCCTACAAATAACATACACATCAATACATCATAGGCCTACAAATAACATTCACATCAACACACCATAGGCCTACAAATAATGTACACATCAACACACCATAGGCCTACAAATAACATACACATCAACACACCATAGGTCTACAAATAACATTCACATCAATACACCATAGGCCTACAAATAACATACACATCAACACACCATAGGCCTACAAATAATGTACACATCAACACACCATAGGCCTACAAATAATGTACACATCAACACACCATAGGCCTACAAATAACATACACATCAACACACCATAGGTCTACAAATAACATTCACATCAATACACCATAGGCCTACAAATAACATACACATCAACACACTATAAGACTACAAACCTTTCTTTTTTTTGGCTGCATCTACAAACTCACATTTCTGCATGACAACAATTTTACAAAAATCAATTTTCTCATAACAAACTTCCTTATTATAGAACTAAAGATATTGGTTTTGTATCTGTCTAAATTTACAGCAATTATTTTTGCAGCAATTCATCATGTCAGTAGAGAAAGTTAATCAGTCACATTCACATTGTCTCTTACGGCAACAACAATATACATTTAACACTGCTTGTTTCTGGAAAATATTCAGTTGACAAGGAACTTTTGTTCAGCAATATTTTAACGTAATATGGAAATGATCACCATTTATATCTTAAAAAAGCCCTCTGACCCAAAGAGACATTTGACTCTTACAATTAGAGTCTTTTAACTCCCTAAAATTTTCTCTGATTTTTCGCCTTTTGAAAAGCATGATCATACCAAATTAGTATGAATTGATTTTTTTTTGTCTCTTGAAAGTCAGGAACCAAATGGACTCCCTGGTATTAATAGACAAGGGAAATCTTGACATTGTCCATATCATAAGGGTCTAAATTGAATGCTTCAATGATGATACAATTTGTACTCAATAAATACACATTAATTATTGAGAAGATTTCTGAGCTATTCCTGTATTATAAAAACATATCCCACCCCAGGACCCACCCTTAGAATTTGACTATGAAGTGATAGACAGGAAACTGAACCATGAATAGATATAGCAGTCATCCATTTTGGAGTCCTTAGATCAAGCAAATGTTTTATTGGAATAGCTCTCCCTGAAAAAAACCAAATTCCAGACAAATTTTGTGTTACTATGATAACTATCTACTGACTAAGAGAAAAAAGAAAATTTAGGTTATAAATTGAGAGAGCAGCTGATACTTACAACATACGGGGTAGCACACATCCTGGAAAACAGGTACACTGGAACTTTCTTATTGATAAACACAGCTGTAGCCAACTTGGCAAATCTGAGGAAATCAACATAAAAAAACTAGTACCCAATAAAATAATAATAATCCACATTGCATCAAAATAAGGTCCTTGGGTCAACAAATCTCCATTTTCATTTCTTCTGTGTACTTATGTCATTATGGAAAAAGGCTAAATATATCCTTGTTGTTTAGACCTTCGTTAAAGGACAATCACAACTTAAGAGTACAAGAGATCCCAGAGGGATCTTGGCACCCATCATTGTTTGATCTTTATTTGCTCTTTTAAAGTTGGATCTTTTCCCTTCTTTTCTCTGTATCTGCTCTTAATGATAAGACATTTGAACATTCCTTTGCAGAAATAGCAATCATAATCTACACCTGCCAAATCCAAAATGGCCCCCTTTTGGCCATTTTGTTGTTTCTGATCAGTCCCAAAATTAAATGGGCACAATGAGAGACCAAAGGGAACATACATATGAAATTTGAGAGGGATCCATTCAGTACTTGTTAAGAAACAGGGATTCCTATTGTCCAATTACCCCACACAACCTGTCTATAGAGAACTATTCCTATTGTCCAATTACCCCCACACAACCTGTCTATAGAGAACTATTCCTACTGTCCAATTACCCCCACACAACCTGTATATAAAGAACAGTTCTCAATGTCCCACTACCTCACACAACCTGTCTATAAAGGATAGTTCCAAATGTCCCATTACCCCACGAAACCTGTCTAAAAAGAACTGTTCTCAATGTCCCATTACCTCACACAACTTGTCTATAAAGGATAGTTCCCAATGTCCCGTTACCTCACACAACCTGTCTATAAAGGACAGTTCCCAAATCCCCCATAACCCCCACACAACCTGTCTATAAAGGATAGTTCCCAATGTCCCAATACCCCTCACAACCTGTCTATAAAGGACAGTTCTGAATGTCCCATTACCCCACACAACCTATCTATAAAGGATAGTTCCCAATATCCCATTACCTCACACTACCTGTCTAAAAAGAACTGTTCTCAATGTCCCATTACCTCACACAACTAGTCTAAAAAGTACAGTTAGCAAATGTCCCATTTCTTCCCACAACCTGTCTATAAAGGACAGTTAGCAAATGTCCATTACTTACCACAACCTGTCTATAAAGGACAGTTTGCAAATGTCCCATTTTCTCCTATACTTGTCTATAAAAGACAGCTAGTTTTTCAGCAATTTTCATTTACAAAATCTTGTGCTTAAAATTTTCATTTGGATAGAAATTATTTTAAGACTTTTCTCTTCACCTAAATTTTTTTAGAAATTATAACGTTTAGGATTGAGACTTCAGCTAGAGGTACAAATGTACTCTGTTTTACCTGTCGCTGTTATAGCGTCCATCATAACCAATCACAACACCATCAGTACAAGCTGTCTGGCAGGTCTGCAGCAGATGTTTACACAATCCCTGTAAGCAACAACAAATATCTATGAAATTAGCACAACTTATATCAATACCATCAAATAAAGATATAAGTATAATACTGTGGATTCATTTTATTTCGTGGGGGTCCAATTTTCGTTGTTTTCGTGGATGAGCAAATCCACGAATTTAAAAACACAACGAAATATGAACTACTTACTAAAGTAATTTTGAAATTTGACCAAGTAATCTTTGCCGACACCGGAAACGTCCACCGGTAATGACAGAAGCCCCGTAATTAGTTGGGACGGGTAGTCTGAGGCTCGACATGGATACGCTAAATTGGTGTCAACGATATATAATTATATATTATTAAACATAACAAAGGGTAAGTACCCATTGTGATGCTAAGTATGATGGGATCGCAGTCGTTAGCGACACTGTGGACACTAGGCTTGATCGGACCATCCTGTCGATGGAAGATTGGATCCGTATTTCTATCCGACTACAGGTTCACAATAATTATTAATAATGCAGATCTTGTTTACACACCTGTTTACACACATGGTCCAATCGATACGCGTGGTGTTTTCATATGACTGCGGTACACCGACTGATCAGCACACAATGTTTATCCACTGAAAACAATTGTTTCTGATAATTACCGATTGATTACACGCCAGGATATATACTGATTTGTGGTTTGATATTAATGCGAGACTGTTGTAAACAGCGTTATAAAAACACAGGACGCCATCTTGAAAAAAAACCGTTCTTTTATTCTTGTCATTAGTGTTAATTCCTGTGAACATAGCCTTAATACAAACAGAAAAAAATTCAACTGGAAGCAAAAAGAGAAAATTCTAACGTTTTCATTTTTTTCCCACAGAATCAAAAATCCACGAATTTATGAGTCCACGAAACTGTCTAATTTGTAGAAACAACGAAAATTGAACCCAACGAAAATAAATGAATCCACAGTATTTCCAAACGTTAATAGGACATATACATTTGTACCAGTTACAGCAAATTAGCAAGATTGTGGATCACCAGGTACATGGTCTTCTGATACTGACTATACAACAGCCACAATTTCGGTTTATAAATGTGTAGAATTGGCTCTAAGGAAAGCATATTCTGGATAAAAGCCAATCAATTTTATGTCCATCTATCATAATTTCAATCACTGTCCAAGATGGACAAAAACAGCGGTATGATGCCATTTGGCTTTACTGTATTGTATGACTAATCTTTACACTGAAAAGTATGTTGTCTGTATGATAGACACCTACCTGTGTTGTCTATGATAAACAACTACCTGTGTTGTCTGTATGATATACACATACCTGTGATGTTTGTATGATAGACACCTACCTGTGTTGTCTGTAAGATAGACACCTACCTGTGTTGTCTGTATGATAGACACCTACCTGTGTTGTATGTAAGATAGACACCTACCTACCTGTGTTGTCTGTAAGATAGACACCTACCTGTGTTGTCTGTATGATAGACACCTACCTGTGTTGTATGTAAGATAGACACCTACCTGTGTTGTCTGTATGTTAGACACCTATCTGTGTTGTCTGTATGATAGACACCTACCTGTGTTGTCTGTATGTTAGACACCTACCTGTGTTGTCTGTATGTTAGACACCTACCTGTGTTGTCTGTATAACAGACACCTACCTGTGTTGTCTATATGTTAGACACCTACCTGTGTTGTCTGTATGTTAGACACCTACCTGTGTTGTCTGTATGATAGACACCTACCTGTGTTGTCTGTATAACAGACACCTACCTGTGTTGTCTGTATGTTAGACACCTACCTGTGTTGTCTGTGTGATAGACACCTACCTGTGTTGTCTGTGTGATAGACACCTACCTGTGTTGTCTGTATGTTAGACACCTACCTGTGTTGTCTGTATGATAGTTAAGTCATTCATCATACTATAACCTGCTCCCATCCTTGCTCGCAAACCTACAGGTAGAAAGTTTATTCTTCTAACTTATTCGTAAACATAGGAAACACACAGTGATGTATATTGTGAGGCAATATTGAATTTTTCTAGTGCTTTCTTGTTGATGATATATTGTACTATCTCCTAAGATTCAATCTTTCTCACCTGTCTTCCCCTAGGTCATGGAAGTCTAAGTGAATCTCAATGTTGCCATAGATACTTTCTTATTTTTGTCTGCCATTTTTTATAAATTAAAACAGTGATATTTAAAAGAAAACATTCAGTAAGCCTATTATACAGTGTACATGCAAACTTTTGGGGAAATTACATGGGCGTATTTGGGCTTGTTCTTTATAATATGAAAATTGAAAATTCCTATTAATCTTAAACTGTCAAATCTAAGGTGGTCACATGTCCATCTTTTTTTCCCTTTTTTCCCCATCAGTCCAATAAGCAAAGCTACATAGCTAGGGATCTTGGGGAGCCCACATATGAAATCTGAGTAGGATTCCTCCAGTGCTTTCCAAGTAATTTCTAATTTTAAACTTTAAATTTCTGAGTCAAAATCAAAGATGGTTGACAGGCATTATAATAGGACGAGTAAAACTAGGGACTAAGGCAAAACTAAACATGAAATTTGAATATGATTCATTGAACACTTAACCAGAAAGTGATAACAAGTTATGACTGACAAATCCAAGATGGCTGCATGTTGGCTATCTCATTTTTCCGATCACTCCCAAAACGGAATAAGCACAAATATGGAACAAGACAAACCTACACATAAAATTTGAAAATTATCCAAAAATAGCAACATGTATGTTGCTTATGCATGGACAGAAAGACAGATGACTGACAGACAATGAGGATTTGGTTTGCTGAAACTTATATCTTATGTCTGTTCTTTCTGGTTGACAAAATAGATTTTTGCAATATGAACAACTTAGCTGAATTCACTGATAATTTAAACAGGGGCTAGATCTTTTTACAAAACCCTATTGGGAGGGTTGTCAGGTTTGGTCTTTCATCAAAGTTGTCTAAGGCTCTGTTATAAATGGAACAAGAAATTAAAGCCCAATATTGCATCACAATAATTAAACTATTGCAGGATTAGAAAGTATCCTGACCTGCTGTTCCAAACTCCATGCGATGAAGAAGACGCTTCTTCAGAGATTCCACCTCACCATCTTTAGCTAGCTTCAATATCTCCTCTCGTGTTGTCTCATTCTAAAACACAACATTCCAAACATATGACCACTCAGCAGTGAAATTTGTTACAAGATCTTTATATACGGTATAAGGCACATATTTGAAATTCAGCTATGTGTCTGTTTGGTGGCAATTCATAGATATTGCATAGCTAGCGATAAATTATTCTTATGTGGTCCTCCTTAATGTGCCAAGGATACATACCGGATGTACACAGATGGATATATAATCCCTTCTGGAATTCCTCCTTGGGACTCATTTATATCGGACGTTTGACAATGTCCTTCGACGTCGAGGGAAATTGTCAAACGTTGAATATAAACAGTCCCGAGGAGGAATTCTCGAAGGGTTAGGATGGATATGTGACTGTTCTGTGCAATGTTCTCTTAGAATGGTTTAGCAGTGCAAATTAATTGTTATCATTGGAGCCAAATGCAATTGTGCGTTCATTTGATGCTTGTGTATTCATTAATCTCAGTCTATCAACATGAAAATCTGACATCAGGATTCTGTGTATTGCGTCAGGGATATCCGTACTTGTCCGTCTTTGTATAGTGTACATGTCATCGTCTGGTGAGATATACGCTTTGACAGCATACTTACTTTATCCCATTCCATCCATTCTTTGACTTTAGCGTCCACGTCACCGTCACCAGTACGTACTTCGGTCATTCTGATAGGATGCTTTCCTCCTCTGCAAATGAGGGCACCTGGCTGTCACTGCACTGGCAATTAATAATATTCGTCTCGTTCAGCAAGACACTTGAAACGAATAAGCATGTGAATGACCAAGACTAAAAGCTATTTAAGGAAGACTGTCCGTTAAAACCTACATTCTGGAGTGACGCGGTGATATATTAGAGTTTCGGCTCGTTCCAGTTGCTGTACTGTTTTTAGTTTATAGGCCCCTAACACCCTGTTTGAATTATACGACGTCAACGATCACTTTTTAAGGCTCTGGCGCTCGAGGCTGTGTAGGGTGGGGGTGGGGGTAGGGTGTTGTTTCAGGAGAAACGTGTTACTGGTTTTTGAGCTACTGAAAAGACAAGGATTAGTGTTTGGCTTCGACAGTTTTTTTTTATCAAAACATAACATGTAATGTAGTGTGCAAACTACATGCATCTGATGTGATCTCTTTGTTCTGCTTATAATTATTCCATTCAAGCAAATATTGGATAGGAATGATAAATACTTATATATTGGAGGTGCTAACTGAATATTTATATCTATCAGAGTGTCAAATATGACAAGCTTTAGGAATTTTGACCAATAATAAACTTTTATTACATATTATGTCCATTTGTTGCATGAATATTGGTGATACGGTGATTAAAGAAATATTTGCATCGGAAGTAAAGGGGTCTGTAGTTGAAAAAAGTGATAAAAATACATGTATATAGCTACTCCTTGACAGTAATTGTTGCATAAAAAACATTTTTGCAAGTGTGCATACTTCACTGTACACATCAAACTACACCCTTGACTTTTGTTTCACATCGAATATATAACACATTCCTTCGTAACTATGAAGCATATACAACCATGCCAAAGGTGCCAGTCCAATAAAACATGCAAAGGAAATATAATACATTGTATCTACATCCATCCCCTAAACCTACATATACATAACTGTCTGTACCTGTAACATAAAACATGGACAGGAAGTACATACCTGTCTGTACCCGTAATATAAAACATGGACAGGAAGTACATACCTGTCTGTACCTGAATATAAAACATGGACAGGAAGTACATACCTGTCTGTACCTGTAACATAAAAGATGGACAGGAAGTACATGCCTGTCCGTACCTGTAACATAAAACATGGACAGGAAGTACATACCTGTCTGTACCCGTAATATAAAACATGGACAGGAAGTACATACCTGTCTGTACCTGAATATAAAACATGGACAGGAAGTACATACCTGTCTGTACCTGTAACATAAAACATGGACAGGAAGTACATACCTGTCTGTACCTGAATATAAAACATGGACAGGAAGTACATACCTGTCTGTACCCGTAATATAAAACATGGACAGGAAGTACATACCTGTCTGTACCCGTAATATAAAACATGGACAGGAAGTACATACCTGTCTGTACCCGTAATATAAAACATGGACAGGAAGTACATACCTGTCTGTACCTGAATATAAAACATGGACAGGAAGTACATACCTGTCTTTACCTGTAACATAAAACATGGACAGGAAATACATACTAGTCTGTACCTGTAACATAAAAGATTGACAGGAAGTACATACCTGTCTGTACCCGTCATATAAAACATGGACAGGAAGTACATACCTGTCTGTACCCGTAACATAAAACATGGACAGGAAGTACATACCTGTCTGACTCGTCTCATCAAACATATATAGGACCCACTAATGTTAACCAGCGAAATCTTTTAAGTATTTTGTATTTTTTTTATGAGTGTTATTTTTGTTTTCCCTTGTTTTTATATACACACTTGATGTTAAATACATATTTTTTTCTTTTTAAAATACACATCCTTTGCCTTTTGTTTTAGGATCAATGCTGTTATGGTGCTTTGATGTGTGACAGTTTCCAGAATAATTAATAAATTAAATAAACATTTCACTTCAAGCAACATGAATTAAAATAGATTGAAAGAAGTTGTTGCATGGCAACCCACAACCTTTTTATGTTTTTTAGTTTAAACCAAATAATGAGCCTTTAATACACAGTGAAACAGTTTTTTTTTTTTCTTGAAATAGATGACGTGTGATTGCAGTGCCACTTCTTAAAGATTTTGTGGCATCAGCTTTTTGTTTCCACTGTTAAATACCTCTTAAATTCATCTTTCCGATGATGTATATAGTAGACTATTCACTGTATCATTTTCTTGTACATCACATTCATAATGTTATTCTTTCTTAATGCCTGGGCAGATTTCATCCAAATATGGTGTGAACATTATTGTACGTGGGTTGCAATTACAAAAATTCAGAAAGTTGTTTTGACTCCTAAGAACTTGGGGGCGGGGCACCAAAACGGGAAATTATACAATATTTTGCTTCAAAACACTTCTCCTTCTTAAAGCCTGTGTAGATTGTAACCAAATTTGGTGTGAAACATTATTGTAGGTTGGTTTCTTGAATTCAGAAAGTTGATTTGACCTCTTTGCTTCAAACTGCTGCTCTTTCTTAATTCTTAAATGGATTTCAACCTAATTTGGACTGAAACATAGTTGGGAGTGGGGAGTTATTTCTTAAATTTAGAAAGTTGATTCGACCCCAAGGGACTTGGGGGTGGGGCTTCAAGACTAATTAAGTATATATACGTATATAAATACTTGTTCATACTGTAAAAAAAAAAACATCATATGCCTGTTGAGTAACTGGAGGATACATATATGTATATGATGGCCATCAGAAAGGTATTTAGGAGAGCTTTACCATATAGCTATATATATATATAGGGGGGATACATATATCTGTATATGTAGGGCCTGATATGTGGAGTTTGTGTTTGTGTTTTCTTCCTTTTTAGTCTTGAAAAGGTGTGTTTACTTGTGTGTGTTGTTTTATTTATGTGTACAGTTTCAGATTATTTTACAAATGTGAATGCTGGATAGACACCACATACCTCATGAGGTGTCAGTATGCACCGATGAATAAGAGGGGCAGTGGTTATTCACTCTGGTGCAATCCACCATGTCGTGTAGGTTTCTGATGTTTGGGAGTTATCTCCCTTGGATCTCTGTGTTTACCGTTTATATTTTATCAAAGAAGTCTTTTTTTTTAGGAATTCAATGAGCAGTCTTTGCACTAGTCTTTCATTTCCACGTGACATTAAAACCTGGTTGATGGATGTATATTGGATTTTTATTCTTTTAAAAGCTGGGAGGGAAAGACCAAGGAACAGAAAATGAAACCATTATAGAAAAAATTCTGAACGGCGTTCCTGATATTCCAAAATTAGTCACCTCAACAAATGGAAAACTGTGCCCAATCCCTCACATTTGAATTCAGTAAACGTAGTTTTTTACACGTGCAGTACAGAAGGTTGTGTCCCCCGGGGGTTCAGAGCGGAATACTCGCGGCCAAAACAGTACACAAAATTAGTTTTCAACAGCATCTCACACCTCACAGTTGAATTCACTAAACCTAGTTTTTTTTTTTTTTTTACATAAGCAGTAGAGGCGGTTGTGTCCCTCGGGTGTTCCAAGCGGAATTCTCGCTGCCAAAACTGTACATATAAATAAATTTTCCTATCATATACGAACCGTGAACCACGCCCCTAATTATACCCCATTGACATCACTCCCCCCGATTCCTACCGGCCTTTCACCTATCACCCCTCCTACTTAACATTTGGGGATGCGAACAGTTACGTGATGCCAGGAACACTGTGGATTTATGGGACTTAAAATGGTGGCCCGTATGGGAATGTCCAACTCGCACGAGAGAGACCTGTGTAAATTTAAACGAGTGTAACAAATTAACTAATAAATAAAATCGTTACTTTTTACTCTTCAACTGACCGACCTAGCCGAACAGCAAGTCAGTGTACCAACCAGTCTATAAAAGTAATGATGGAAATGTAACTAGAATGATGTAATTCAATTTTAAATATGATCAATCTCTCGGCAAATCGTAATGAGAGAGAACACTTATATTGTGTGTGTGTGTTTTTTTTTTACGTAACGTTACGTCAAAGTAGAGCAAGACGAAATATGTTTAATAACGGACAGCGGGTCTGTATTTATTTACTGTATGCGACGATTTCACAAACCTCCCCATCACCTCATCACCTCCCCTCTATCCTACAGCCCCCCACACTCGTACACCAAGGCATTGAATCCAGCAAGAAGAACTGTATTTTCTATTCTTTTTTTGAAAAGAAAAGAAAAAGAAAAGATCACACCAGTAAAAACGACTGTCACGGCTATTTTCATCAACGAATGTATGAAGAAGATTAATCACATATTGGCCCTAATGACCTTTTATGTGTTGACTAAAACGTAGATTAAAACATTTCATGCTTGATGCGTCAGACTTTCCTCTCATTTTCCTTCCTATTCATGTATATAACTCATCTTTCAAGTGCTTGTGTAGTGTGTAATAATAATACTTGTCAGTCTCCATTTCACGATCGCTAGAGCTTGTGATATTGTGTAATACTTACTATATATTTATTGAAGTAAAGTATGATAAAATTAGTCAGATATTGTGATTCTGGAAAAAGCGTTTTGCAATTTAAAGAAATGGTTTTTATGTCGAACTGACATTAGTTGATTTGGTGAAGTCACTTGTCTTTTTAAAAAATGTACAAAGGGTACCGTCAGCAACAATAGGCCATTAAGATTGTAATAATAATGAAAAGTAATCACATATATTTATTAACAAACCTACCACCTAAATTAAGTAGGAATAAAAAAAAAATAGTAATGATATTACCTGAATAAACAATCGATAAACTTTTAAGATATTTAGGTTTTCTCAGTGTTCTTTTTTGCTTTTATTTACTGTAGAACAAAAAAGTTGACCTATTTCGTTGATAGCAAAATTGTTTTCAAAAGAGACAATAAGAAAGAGCTACAGGTAACTTGATGATGTTAACACCATCGTCCATTAACTATCATGTTATATTATGCTGAAACTCATTAAAACGCTAAATACAACATACAGAACATAAATTTTCAATTTTTAAAACATGTTTTGTCTCTTTTAATTGTGAAATTTGATATTCGTTTAGTTTCATTTTGGAATTAATTATCTATATCTACGTGGATGGTTTCATAATTTACATAGATATTTAAGCCTCGCTTTCACACAGGAAGTAGCAGGTTCCCTGAACTTCCGGTTACTAGATCGTTGCTTAGTGCACATAAACAGAAGATAAGATCAGTGACTTTACCTGTGTATATTAAGTGGAAATGAAAATCACGTGCATGACTTCACATTCGTAACACAGGATTGCTTAAAAACAGCTCGTACTTAATAATGGCGACGGGACATATACTGCCAGGTTTCGGCCAACCTGTGTCAAACTTAAGGAGAGCTAAAACAGCTTTTCCTATGGATAAGACAAAGCTAAAGGAATACGCTTTATTAAATGTCCCGAAGCCAGATGTGAGGGAATTAGGACATATCAGAGAAAACGCACGGCAGGTCTGGTCCGCCAAACCTACGTATGCTACCTCATACAATTGTCACTATGAAGGAAAACCACTAGACGAGCAGACAAGATTAAGGCCATCGTCACCAACACGAAAAAACAAACCTCACCCCCCAATGTAAGTTATCTTCAGCATAAAATATAATTGATTATTTCCGGTATTGGGATGATTTTCATGAACAAGTTGCTGCACAAGTTTTGGTGCTGTTCATTTCTAATTAAAACTTAACTTACAAATTGATAGTGAATTTGAAACATACAGTTGTACAGAAATTAAAAAATGCTATTGTAATTATATATTGTCAATGTGCAAACTGATTTTGTCGAAAGTATTACACCAACAATAATGTTGTGTATACTTATCGATAAGAAATAAGATGAAATGACATTAAGTGTCAAATTACATTTTTCCTGACTAGCTGTGGTCAGTACTTTTTTTATTTTTTTTTCAAATTTGCATGAATTTTATGGCAGATTCATTAGGAGTGATCACTATGAGTCATTAGGAGGGAACTCAAACTTTTCATCAGTCGGACTCAAAGTTCAGTCTATTTCTCTTTGAATGAAAAAAAAAAAATAGAGAGAACTAAAATATATACAATAACTATTGCGTGTTCATAGTCAGGCATAAAAATGAACACATGCACAGTGAGAAATCCATGTAACTGATTATAGATATCATTAGCAATGATTCAAATGAAAGTCAGAAGTTTTTGATAAATTTTTTATACTCATTGATGTAATACATATATGATTTGTACAATATACTTCTAAAGAGGTCAAAATATTAAGAGTGTTTTAAATACCTCCAGTGTGTATACATTTTTAATCAAATGGTCTACCTTACCGTATGTCTAAAATCTCATCAAAGAATTGGTGAATATACCGTAAGTTTGTCTGAAGATTTATCGAAATGAAATTCGTAAAGAAAACATCTCTATTTTGTCTGTAAGGTAATTATATATTGCTGCCTTTGAAAGGGTACTTTTTAAAATGCAGAGAGAGTATTTAAAACTTAGATATTCTTATACAAATTGAGATTAGACTACAAAAAAGCGCTGTATATCTACAATACATTAAATTATTATGATATCATACAACAGAATTTATCTGCAACACAAATTTCAGTAAAAGAAAACATTCCAACGTGACAAAAAGTGGAATTGTATACATGTTTGTTGAGAGAGCAGATCAATGATTTTTATGGAAAAATGAAATTATTTGAATTATGAGACAATGCGATAGCATTAATTTGTATTTACTGAACAGCTATATATAAGGATGGGCTTATTACCAGACCTGGGCTTATTACTGGGTAAATTAGGTATTCCATATCAATAAGTGGGGCGGCCATTCTTATGTCAGTCCGATTTGGCGTAACTCCTTTGAATATGAAATAAAACAAAATAGTTCAAGAGATATGTTTTGGAAACAGACATCAAGTAGTATTGATTTTGAGAGAAAAAATTGTTGAACCCTGCATTAAAGGCAAGCTGTAAAACAAATACCTGTCTACATGTATAAGACAATAAATGACAGCTATATATATAAACATATACCTGTCTAGAAAGGTCTGTATATGACATATACCTGTTAAGAAAGGTCAGCTATGTATATATAAACACATAGCTGTCTATAAAGACCAGATGTATATAACAAAAACCTATCTAGAAAGGTCTGTATATGACATGTACCTGTCTAGAAAGGCCAGCTGTATATAACAAAAACCTATCTAGAAATGTCTGTATATGACATGTACCTGTCTAGAAAGGCCAGCTATGTGTATATAAACACATAGCTGTCTATAAAGACCAGATGTGTATAACAAAAACCTGTTAATAACAAATACTTGTCTATAAAGGCAACTAGTGTCAGGTCCACGTGTAATTCAAATTATAACAGTTGAACCTTTGACAAGCCACCTGCCTATGAAGCCCACTGTTCTCACTCCCTTGAGTGGCCTTTGTAGACAGGTTTTACTGATGTTATACATGATGTGTATTGTGAATTGAAAACTAGTCCTACATTGTAAAACCTAGTACTTTATTATGATTTCTTTTACCACAGGGTATTTTTGACAAACAGACTTCATTATATCGATGGTCTCCAGAATCCTGATGCTACACTCGGAAAAGAAGTCTATAGAGGTATATTAAAATGAAAAGAACAAATAAAATATTTATTTCAGAAAATGAAGCTAAACATTTGATTAATGAAAATTCATTCAATAATAAGCATATGAATTTCAGAATGCTGGAGGTTAAGTTATTTTCACAAATGGTTCAGTTTCTTTTGAATAGACATTTTAACATTAGGAAAGACTTCAGAGGATTGTTAATTGATCCTGATTGATTTCAAAATAAAAAATATTTCACAAAAAAATTAACATACCTTGGAAATGGAATGAAATTGAATTTCTGATACTGTAATACTTATCTGTTACATTTATAAGATAGATGATTTTTATCATAAACATAAATTGTGACAGACTGACGCTAATTAGAATACATGTTTTACTTCTTGTCCTCTGTTTTTGCTGTTTGGGAAACAAATGATTTTGATAACATATCATATCATAAAAAGATTTTAACAGACTTTTTTAAGAAGTCATTTTGATATCATTCACCTGATTAACTGATAACATTCAGACACCAGGTGTACATTTTTCAGACACACATTGTGTTTATCAAGACTGCTTTAACAGTTCTGTTCAAAAGAATCCTTAATTACAGGTAAATTATCTTTTACATTTCTATTCTGTTATCATTATCGTTTATTTATTTAAGTGGATGGTGTCGTGCCAGACAATGAGTACATCAGGAGAAGATTAATCCGTGAAAAATACATCGCTCGGCCTCATACAGCAGCTGTGAATCAGTACGCTGATGATGTAAGCAGAAAATTATTTATCATAAAGAAGATTTATATATATATATATATATATATATATATATATTATTATCCTGCCTCTGACTCAGCGCTGTCTGCAGTGTGCTTGCTTTTATAGTATACTAAATGTAGCTGCAGATCTAGACATACTTTACTGTCACTAATGGCTGTTATTTGGTCATTTTGAATTACAAGTAATCGCAAAATAAAATCAAAGTCAGCTTTAAACAATATTCTGTATTGTCCAAATTAAAAGCATTGATTGATGTAATAGTTGATATAGTTCTGTTTTTCAATTATTTATGAAGGGTTTGAAGGATGTTTTCCCTGCTACCGAAGCACAAGCTGCAAGTGCATGGTTGAAACTCGCAGATGACAAAGGTAAGCAGCACAAAAAATATTTCAATTTGTTTTAAATGTTGTTTTTCTGTTTAACAGTAAAGCATGATTACAATGGAAAGGTTAATTACAAGGAAAACTGCCAGATTACATACTAAAGAGGTTTCTTATGATAATGAATGTCATATCATATGGATGTCTGAGGTCTAATATCACAAGCATTGTCAGATTACACAGGTGTCTGACTTCTGAGGTTTAATATCACAAGCATTGTCAGATTACACAGGTGTCTGACTTCTGAGGTCTAATATCACAAGCATTGTCAGATTACACAGGTGTCTGACTAGAGAGATCTAATATCACAAGCATTGTCAGATTACACAGGTGTCTGACTAGAGAGATCTTTTAACATAGAATTGTCAGATTACACAGGTGTCTGACTAGAGAGATCTTTTAACATAGAATTGTCAGATTACACAGGTGTCTGACTAGAGAGATCTTTTAACATAGAATTGTCAGATTACACAGGTGTCTGACTAGAGAGATCTTTTAACATAGAATTGTCAGATTACACAGGTGTATAAATAGAGAGATCTTTTAACATAGAATTGTCAGATTACACAGGTGTCTGACTAGAGAGATCTTTTAACATAGAATTGTCAGATTACACAGGTGTCTGACTAGAGAGATCTTTTAACATAGAATTGTCAGACAACACAGGTGTATGTCTAGACAGTCTTTTAACATAAGAATTGTCAGATTACACAGATGTCTGACTAGAGAGATCTTTTAGAGAGATCTTTTAACATAGAATTGTCAGATTACACAGGTGTCTGACTAGAGAGATCTTTTAACATAAGAATTGTCAGATTAAAAAGGTTTATTGTCACAATGATGGCCAGCATACACAGGTGTCTGACAAGAGAGATTTATTGTCCTGATCTAGTTGCTTGATAAACAGGAACTCAGTTAAGTACTCAAACTCTTCATTAGTTCATAAGAGGGTTTAGAGATGAGAATTAAGATATGCAAAGCTCACTATTTTAAAATGAATAATTTTTTAAAAGGTTTGGAACATTTTCACACTGACAGAATCAAAGTAGATTCATTGCTTCAATTGTCAGAATTAAATTACATTCTTTTTAAATCTATCTTAGTTATGATTCTAACTACTTTCCAGTGGCCTTGTAAGGTTTTAGTAATATGACTGTCCAGTAACTTTTAGTTTAGAATTAAATGTCCATCTTTTTAGCTACAACCAATCAATTTTAATATATGCTATATTAGCATATAGTTGGTTAAATTTTATTATTTGTCACATTGACATATATGTATATTGGACACTTGAATATGTGTTTTAATTCCAATATATATGCATCATGAGCTTTATGTAGTGCACTACTTTTAATTAATGATCCAAATTAAAACTATCATTATGTTCACTGTGATACATTTACTCTATATGTGATGTTATAACCTTTTAATAATACAATGTAATTTAATGTTGTAAATACTGTACATTTTACTGTCGACCGCTTGTAAGAAGAGTCTTTGACTCAAAGTGTTATCGACCTGAAATAAAGTCTATTATTATTATTATTCCCTCCTCCATTGACAGAATTACGTTCCCTCTCTCCATTGACAGAATTAAATCACATTCCCTCTCTCCATTGACAGAATTCAATTACATTCCCTCTCTCCATTGACAGAATTACGTTCCCTCTCTCCATTGACAGAATTAAATCACATTCCCTCTCTCCATTGACAGAATTAAATTACATTCCCTCTCCCCATTGACAGAATTAAATAACATTCCCTCTCTCCATTGACAGAATTAAATTACATTCCCTCCACCATTGACAGAATTAAAATACATCCCCACTCCATTGACAGAATTAAATTACATTCCCCCTCCTCCATTGATAGAATTACATTCCCTCCCTCCATTGACAGAATTAAGATACATTCCCTGCTCCATTGTAGATAAATTTCAGCTTATGAATATGATGCAAGAGGAAAGAACAAAGTGTTTTAAAGCAGAAAACAAGACATTACAATCACCGGTAAGTATAACACAATCAATATACTACATACCACTTTAATGCCTTTTTAATTACTTTATCAGAAATCAGGGTTTTATTTATACAGCAAGGAGAGTAAGTTTCATTACTAACTTCTGTATACTATAAAATGATGTATTTTCAATTGTATTGCACGACTTATGTTACATATGTAACACGTGACATTTTCCTTGCCTATACTACCAACACAGTGGAAAATTCAATTATTCTTCATGTGGTTGGTCGGTTACAGGTTTTCTGTCTCTTTTAATGGTCTTATTTGTAGGCATTGTCTCTCTGACTAATGTCAGTGTTTTGGGGAAGCGGCTTATTCTATTTTAATTCATTATTAACAGATTCAGTCCTTCCTGCATAGTGCTAGATTATTCTGTCTTTTTCAGTCTGTCTGGTACCTTTGCAAAACATTTCATTCAAAAATAGGTCAAAATTAAGATGATCCAGTTGTTTTGATGTATAACTGAAAAGGGAGGCATTGTAGTCAAACCAAATTATTTGGAATAATTAGGTGATAAAGCACTTAAGCAATTTCAACACAATAATGTTTTAGAAAAAGAATTTATGACCGATATACAGGTAAGATATTCCCTTAATCCAAACTCCGATGATTCACTCTTTAACGGTCTGTCTTTTCCAGACCCCAAAGCTGGAGCGAGCCAACACGGACATGCCCTCACTGCACAGGTGGATGAAAATGGCTGGAGCTGATGGTAATGAAACTGAAATTGATTACCTCCCCTTGTCAGCAATCATATAAGTTTTCTTCTGTGTACAACTACTCAAAAATCAAAACAACAACTATTATATGAATTTTACATCTGATCTTGATCCTAGATCTGTATGTGAATGTTTGTATGGGAAAAATGTCAGCTCTGTCACAACCATTGTACAGAATTATACTGTCCATGAAATAGTTGTTGAATGAGGCTGTAGGCTGTCGGTCTATATATTCTTCGTCTTCTACATCAGCTGTATTTGGATTTTATACATTTCTTAATCCAGGAAATGCTGGATTTCAAATTAGGCTAATATTTTATACCACATAAAAAGGTCTGTTTATATTACATCTACAGACTTTTAGGATCTCCAAAATTGAGAAATTTATAAAATTTGATGGAATTACATGCCAATATCGCATCTTACATTTTAATGATTTTTTAATGAATGATAGTAATACGAGGAATTAAATAGGTCTTGTGTAACTAAGGAAATGTGGATTTTTCTTTTTACTGATCATATTTTTCATACATAAACCCCAGGGATCAATACATTACTTCTTACTCAAAGGTAGGGGGCAGGCTTATTACCGAACAATAAAACCAAAGGGGCCAACCCATTACTTCTTACTCAAAGGCAGGGGGCAGGCTTATTACAGAACAATAAAACCAGGGGGCAGGCTTATTACTGAACAATAAAACCAGGGGGCAGGCTTATTACCGAACAATAAACCTAAAGGGTCCAACACATTACTTCTGACTTGAAGTCTGATGACTGTAAAGCATGGGGAAATGAACTCGGTTTAAACCGCAGTTCACTTTACCATGGGCTTCACTTTACCATACTACATCGGCTTATTACAGGACAATAAACAATAGGGACTGTCTACCTCTGACTTACTGACAGAGGGGTGGGCTTATTACCGAACAATAAACCCAGGGGGCAGCACTTCTGACTTATAAACAAGGGTTGGCTTATTACAGAACAAGGCAATAGCATTAGTTTGCTGTAACTCTACAAAACATATCACATGGTGTGTTCTACATCAGGAAACAGCTGTGTATAGAAATCAAGTTCCACTTGTACCATCAGTAGTTTAACAAATGGTGTTGTGCATGTCGTCTTCATGGTATTCTAAGCAAAAATGAAAAATAAAGTTGAATGTGATGATCTTTATCACATGACAAGATTAATCATTATTGCTACTTACATCAGACAATAAGCCCATGCCTGGTAATAAGCCCATCCATACCTTTTGCTCTTTAGTAGAACAACCAACAAAATGTCCTGCAATAAGTCTGCTGCCTGACTTTGAGTCAGAATTTCGTTTTGGTCTGCCTGGGCTTATCAAAGGATGATTACAACATTTTGTTTAAGAGTGTTGTACAACAGCGTGATTATATATCATACTTATAGTGCCCGGCCGCCTTCCCTAATCAGCCTGGGTACATGTAAGTACCACTGAGTCTGTGTTGAAGGATACCTTAACTAATTGATGTGTAGTCTTGGTTGATACAGATATTGCTATTTTTGACTGACAAGTGTTAAATGAATAAAATCTTCTTTAGTTCCATTCATATTAATTTTGCATGCAATAGAAGAAAATATTGATTAATTTATTAATGACGACGAAATGCTTTCTAACATTCGTAAAACAAAAAACATATAAAACCTCCGTGTAATGATTAATTTCCTTACAACTTTTCATACCTTCTGTTATAAAACAATGATTTTTATTGGTTCTGATTCAGTTAGCAAATAAATTTTAGATTTTACGATTTAAGGAGTGATAGTCACATGACTTTTATAGTTTAATATTTCACAATTTTTTTTACAAAATATTTTAACAAATTTTCCAAAACATATCTTTATAGAGTACCTGACTTAGTGAGCTTATATGTACCTATATAATTATAGAGTGTACATTAATCAGTTCACTCATACCACGTTACTTTAATAAAATATAAATCTTGAATATTATGCAAATCACTTATAGAAAAAAGTCATCAAAAATGTGTATCATCATTTTCATTTTTCATAACCTAACTTTTAAAAATGTAGAAAATTGTAATTTAACATTTGTCAGAGTGGACTTTCAATGTCTGTGTAAATTGTTTTAGAAATCCTTAGATAGAAAGTAGAGGTTTGGAATAATCCGTAATGACAAAAAATTGAATTTATCATTAATATTTTTACAAGTAATGTATACCTTTCACTGACATACAAGCATGATGTTCATGTGTATCTCATCAAATGCATGTAACTATGAATGGATTTTTGATGTGAGCAACCAGTAATTGTGGGAAGGTTTTTTTCTCTCTTTTCTTTTTTTTCATTACTTGTGTGTGTGTGTGTGTGGTGTGTGTGTGTGTGTGTGTGTGTGTGTGTGTGTGTGTGTGTGTGTGCGTGTTATTGGTGGTATGCTGGGGTTCTTAAGGTACTAAAAAATTGTGGCAATATGGATATTTTTCTTCAACTGAAAATTGTCCAAGTATATGATTTTCGAAAGTGATTGTGCACTGATGTGTGTTTGAGTTAGGAGAACAATATTTCAGAGTTAAGAAATGAGAACTGGTCAATATATACCTCGATCAGGATCCAGTATACCCACAGGATATTAGACTTGTATATTCATGAAGTTAATAAAGCTTCAGGATTTGATATTGATTGCCACATATTATTGAACAGATTCCAATTGACATTCATGGGCTTATGAATGCAAACAGTTTGCCACAAACTCAGTGAAGTGCATTAACACTTCGTGTTATCCTGTTGATATTTCTAAGCCTACGAATGTCAATTTAAAACAATTTGATACTTATACATATATCCTTACCCTTTAAGGGCAGGTAAGCTCAATATGTTTATGTTACTTGTAACACTTTTACACAGATGGTAATTCAAAGTAAACTTAAGATTACACAGAGTAGACTTAAGATTGCACAGTAAGCTTAAAATTACATAGTAAACTTAAGACTACAAAGTAAGCATAGGATTACACAGTAGACTTAAGGTTGCACAGTAGACTTAAGGTTACACAGTAAGCTTAAGGTTACACAGTAAGCTTAAGACTACAAAGTAAGCATAGGATTACACAGTAGACTTAAGGTTGCACAGTAGACTTAAGGTTGCACAGTAGACTTAAGGTTACACAGTTAGCTTAAGATTACACAGTTAGCTTAAGATTACAGAGTAGACTTAAGATTACAGAGTAGACTTAAGATTACAGAGTAGACTTAAGATTACAGAGTAGACTTAAGATTACAGAGTAGACTTAAGATTACAGAGTAGACTTAAGATTACAGAGTAGACTTAAGATTACACAGTAAGCTTAAGACTAATCTGTGGCTATGCCATATATTGGTTAATATTTATTCATGAGTATTTAAACCTTAAAACATTAAACATCACAGGCAGCAATCCTTCTTATCTCAAGTGATTGACATTAAGATTTGAAAACAACATGTAAGTAATCATCAACATATTGTGAATTCTTTCGTGGAAGAAAATTATGCAGAAATGTTGATTGTAATTACCAACTGAAGTTTGATAAAATTTTAATTTGTAAATCAATCTTATTAAAAACGAAAGCTAAGATTCAGCTGCCATAATGTAACAACATTCATATGTCTCGCAAAAAATGGATTCATTTTTTTTCTCTGACAACTTTCAATTATTAAATGTGTTAAAACTTTCTTTTAAGACTATTTTCATTGGCAGTTTTCTCATCAAAACGAGTTCATGCCAATTTAAAATTCAACGATACAGAAAGTACTACACTATAATTGTTCTCTTAATTCATTTGCTGTAATTAGCTTTCAGGAAATTTGCCGTGAAAGAAAGTTGCTGTTGATTTGAAGAAGTGTTACTTTGATGTACTGGTCTTTAATATTGACTTATACCAAATATCAATTTTATGACAAGAAATGGTTTGACAAAGATCTGGATTTCTGATTTTTCTCTTCCAGAAAACAATTCATTGAATCGTGTCCTTCAGTCCATCCGTTCAAACCCTGATAATCAGTTATCATCACGAGTTGGCTCTGCTTCTGGATCCTTGAAAGAGAGACGCAACAATGACATTGACACCATGAGGCGGATTAGATTTGTGCCAAAAGCAACTCGTGGAGAGTTTTTGATGCACCCCGATTGGCCACCCAATATTCCTCATCATCATGTGCCATGAGTAACCTTGATTGACCCCGAGTGACATTTGAATGACCAATGAGTGCTCTGCTGTCACTCATTGTACAATTTAGCATATGTGATAGATTATGCCTAGGAGCTAGTATATATTCAAATTTTGAGTGGACAAGAGTTGGACAATATAGACTGCCTTAGATAGTGCTGTCTGAAAGATTGCAAAATTTCTGTCATTCCTATAAAAGCATTTCTTTAGCATTTTCAGTATTTTTGAGACCAGACCGAGGCCTTATCCACCTATGTATTTTGATTTAATTTCTTCAATAAGATACCACCCAGTCAATTTGTGCTTTATTTCATCCCAATATACATTAGGAAATTTCCACTCAGTCAAATTTTTGTCTTATAATGATAAGTTCATGTAAAAACTTTGATACGACAGCCAGGAAGGCCATTTTGTAACATAATTGTACAATCATGGTTTTCTTGTGCAACACCTATTCCAAACTTTTTCTCAAGTTTCACCAGTTGAATTGAGCTCCAAGGTTACTGTAAAAAAAAAATAGGTAACACTTGTTACAGTTACCTACTCCTCACCAAAACTACCATCTGCATCATGGAAAACAGCTTCTAAGTAAGATTTCATTCAAAGTAGAAAAAAATAATCATTCTCCCTGCTGAAAGCTTTTGTAGTCAGATGACTGTTAAGGCCCATGGGCCTCTTGTTAATTAGTGTCCTTAAGATGTAATAACATGTGTTGTGAACTGAAATCCCCTGACACGAAAAATTGCCCTCATTACAGAGGGAAAAAACTAGATGAAAAGATTAAATTACCTGCATTGAAATCTCTCACAATACGGTAGAGTATTTATTGAAATTTAATTACCTAACTTCAGGTATGCTTTTTTGTTTAATTGTTCTTGTAAAGAAAATATTGATATTTTTCATTGTTTCCGACTAAAGTTAATATTTATAATATTTTCTTTCAAATTGTTAACAATATACATGGTTATGTAAATAGTAGCTGATCAATAGACCAACACATACCGTGAGGCCTTTATTCCTGTCAATTATCACTGAAATAAGAAAGTACATACAAACACAAACTGTAAATTAGAAGCAATATTTTGTACCATTACCAAATAATTTCCACATATTTTTACAAAAAAAAAAAAATTAATTCAATTTCATATTTCAAATCTAACTGGATATTATATATTCAAATATGATATTTGATACAGTACATATTGGCAATGAGTAAAAACTAACTCTGTGATATGGTATGTCTATATAAACCCTTCTAGTCTCCTTTCCCCCATTTGTATATTTTTAGTCTGTACAAGCTTGAAATGTCACTCTCATCATTTACCTTGTTACAAACTAAAATTTTCAGTTTTAATAAAAATATAATATAATAAAAATTATTTATGTAACTTTTTTTTTTCGGGTCATGGTGATGATGTGTATATTTTATCTGGACCAAAATGAGGAAACCTTTAACATGTTAAAATATTGAATATCTGTACCAGAAAATATACATGTGAACCTATGCCACATTTGTAGTGACTCTACCCTCCCTTCCAATACCAGGTACAATATATATATATATATATATATTGATTTAACAAAAGTAAATCCATTCAGCAAAAATCAATCAGAATTGATCATGTTTTTAAGTAAATTAATAAATCATCCATTGAATCTATGAATACATATATATAATATGAAATTTTATGATATTTGTTTTTTATAAATTTGTGAATGATATATGCTGTTAAATTCATTTTCATCAACTGTCAATTTCAGTTCTAAAGAAAGGATACTTAAGTACAAGTTTATTAATTATCACTTTTAATTTTCTGACATTTTAAGATCGGTCATGTTACACCATTTAAAGGGTAACGTTTTACAAAGACTTTTTTAGGGGTGGCCTACTGGTGATAAGATGTAAAGCAACGAGTAACAATCTAGTTGATGTACAATACAATATTATAGAACACTTGTTAAACAGTCACCTCAGTAAGATGTAGACTTATGAATTTACTAGTATATTTTACCATCGACTAAGAATTAAAACATTACTACATCAATCAGTATTAAATCTCTAATATATCCTCACATTGTTAATCTACTCACTGAATTCCATCTTACCTGACCTTGAAGTTGCAGGTTTATGATGCCAAAACAGAAAAATCTTCCAATTGTTTTCAAATGCCATACCTGTGTATTACATACATATATTATGTCATTGAAAAAGAAATGCCATATATATCCTACAATAAGTCCAGGATACCAACACATTACATCTTACTCACAGTCAGGGGATGGGCTTATTACAGGACAATAAGTCCAGGATACCAACACGTCACATCTTACTTACAGTGAGGGGGTGGGCTTATCACAGGGCAATAGGTACAGGATACCAACACATTACATCTTACTTACAGTCAGGGGTGGGCTTATCACAGGGCAATAGGTACAGGATACCAACACATTACATCTTACTTACAGTCAGGGGGAGGGCTTATCACAGAACAATAGGTACAGGACACCAACACATTACATCTTATTTACAGTCAGGGGTTGGGCTTATCACAGAACAATAGGTACAGGACACCAACACATTACATCTTATTTACAGTCAGGGGGTGGGCTTATCACAGGGCAATAGGTACAGGATACCAACACATTACATCTTACTTACAGTCAGGGGGTGGGCTTATCACAGAACAGTAGGTACAGGACACCAACACATTACATCTTATTTACAGTCAGGGGGTGGGCTTATCACAGGGCAATAGGTACAGGATACCAACACATTACATCTAACTTACAGTCAGGGGGTGGGCTTATCACAGGGCAATAGGTACAGGATACCAACACATTACATCTTACTTACAGTCAGGGGGTGGGCTTATCACAGAACAATAAGTCCAGGACACCAACACATTACATCTTACTTACAATCAAGGGGTGGGCTTATTACACCACAATAAGTCAATAAGTAGGATTTCATTTGCTATTCTACTGAACAGCAATATTCATTGATAGAGACTTATTTCTAGGCATGGACTTATTACTGGATAAATATGGTAATACTTTTTAATTCATTATAAGATGTCATACTATTTGTTGTGCCTTTAGATCTCAGATAATTTGATATTGTAAAATGGAAATTAGTCTTTTAAGTATTTCAACAGATCAAGATTTTTTTTATATACAGTATTCAGTGTGTGTTTTGTTTGTGATGTGTTATTCGGTTAAAAGGATGTAAGTTTATTTTGTATCTTTAAAGTCTTGTTGAAGAAAATATTCATATACTCCATTATCCTGATTATATCCTGAAATTTTATAAATCTATATTGTACCAATTTATGGTGGATTAATCTATAGATTGAATTACATATATTGTATAGTGAATACCAAGTTATCATGAAGTTGCAACAAAGTTATAACAAAGGTTTTTCAGACAGTGTCTAATTTTAACTGTTTTTACCATAATACAACGTGACAGATACCAAACTGACACATTTAACATATATCTTTTGTTTATTAATAAGTTCATGCTCTTCAAAAGGAAGATTCTGATTTCGACCCCAGACAGTTAAATTTGCCGAGTCTTGCAAAATGAATTTGTTGTAGGTCATATTGTACAAATCTATATATTTACGAATGGCAATCATTCCAACAAGCTTGGGATACATTGATTCTATATATTTTATAGGTTTCTATATTGTACAATATATACGTATAGGATGTTCCCAAAGAGCTTCCATATTGGGTAAGACCTTCAAAATTTGCCATCTTGTACTTTAGAAAAAATGTTGTTCTTAATAAATCAACATATTTAACAAAAAATTGAAAGAAGTGAGCCAACATTGGATTGCTTACCTTAATCACAAATTCTTGTATAATATATAAAGTGTAGGTACAAAATATATGTATCTATCAAATACACATGTACAAATATAGTGTACAATTTCTGGTAAAGATCTGAATGAGGGTTTCACTTTTGGTAACAAATTGAATATACTTTTGTACTTATAGAAATGTCATGTTCGTTTTAATTTTTGTCTGCATACAAGTCTCAGTTGATATATTGTCTAGTGCCTTAGGAATAGGTTGTTTTCATCAAAGTTTTCCAAACTAAAACCAAGACATATTATTTAAAATACTTTAAGTCGGGTAAATCAAATTAGTATTATTTTTAGCATAATTTATTTTTATATGCTTTATATGATATATGTAAGTTTATTATAGAATATATATTATATTTTGTTATTGTTACAGGTGTTTTATTTGTTGGTCTAGTTGGTATAAGGTGAAATTAATTTCAATGTTTTCATTGATGAAGTTCAGTGCTTGGCTGAGGATAGAGATAAATGGTATTGAGTAATTCTCTGATAGGATGAGGGTTAAGTTGCAAAATTCTTTGGTTGGCTGAGTACATAATTAAATAAGTCCCCTGATTGGTTGTTTAAGAGCTTCTAGAATTCTGATATGGTAGGTACAGGAAGGTCTGTTGAATGATCCATAGGAAAGCATAATGACCTTGAGTGACATGTATTGGTGTATATAAATTGGGCTGTAATGACATCATGTTCGTTATGATGTCATTCAATTGTCCTTTTGAAAATAAACCTGGTTAATGAAAAAAGTTGCGCCAATAATTTTGTCAATTGTTTATATAAATTTATTTCACAATATTTTTAGAGACAAGTATATTGTGTTGTGTGAATTTATTGAAAGTTTCCATTCCACATTTACATAAATGTACATGTTTTTTTATCTACTATAAATCACGAAATTGATATCAAGGTATTATATAAATACACTCCTGATGAACAACACAATCAGTATCTGTTTACAAGCAATTATTTAAGATATTTGAAGCTTTGATATAAATATTTATGGTTGGCAGTACTTAAATGTCTGTAACATGAAGTTTCTGTAAGGTTGACAGCATTTTTTGTATGTAGTCATGTGTTTGTGTTATATATCATATCTGTACAGGATTTAAATGAGCTTTCATTGCTTATTTTTAAAATTCGTGTAGCGGAGATTCAGAAAGTGCTTTCTGTTGCTACGGAGTTGAATTTTTTAACATCCATTTGTGCTATATAAGGATTAGTTTTACCAGAAGATTAGTGCCTTGTTATTAGGACAAAATGTCTATATGAAATGGCCTTAGTTTGATAGCAAGTTGTGACTGCATATTTTTGTTCAATATCAAATCTACATAGAGCTATATTGTGTAGAAAGTTTAGGTGTATTTTGTGTAACTTTATCTTTCCATTGGTGTGCCTGAAAATTACATATATTGTCACGTGTAAACATGTAATAAAAAAACCTAATATATTTACGTCTTTTTGTGGTATTTTGTTAGTTTCATAACACTATGTACAGGATGTATCCAAAATGTCTTTAATGATAACTAACGGAATTTTTGTTGGTTGATGTCTCTGGATACCGTGACATGGTGACATCACAACTTCCTTTTCATGTGTCATATATCTTAAGACGTCACTTAAGGAAAAAGACCTGCTGGAGTAGCAATGGTTGTTTTTTTAATTTCATATCACCTTAAAGACAGTGCTGTGTTCATGAGACTTACTTCAAATATTGGTCACATGATTTGATGAACAGAATCTTAAATTCGTTCCTATTTCGTCATGAGACTAGATTCATAAATCTCGTATCCGAAATAAAATGGCACGTAAGTTCCTTTGTGTGTACAACGGGGGCAGTGACTACAAAGTAGCGATGGGATCCTACATTTAACAGTCAAAATGGACATGTAAGAAATAAATAATAAAAAAACCTAATTAATTAAACAACTATGGTCAACCACCAATCACATATCCGATCACAAACGACAAACATATATAAGTTACCCGCTATGACGGATCTTACATGAAACAAATTTCAGATACTAATAACTTCGACAAGTTTTCAAATATTTGTGAAAAGATGCATTTCACTGGATTGTGCAACATCTAAATTGGCTAAAAATATCTTTAGCTTTGATGACGTCACAATATATATGACGCCAAGAAGCTATGACGTCACCATGGCAACAACGGGAACCTGCTGTCAACCAAAGCTCAGCTAGGTCATATCACAATTGCGTCACGACATAAAGATGTAATGGATACTATTAACACCGATAACAAGGTAAGTGTATGATGAAGTTATTCCTCTCTCGTTATGTAGACGTCAATATCACCACCTATTTCATAATGGTACGCTTACATTCGAGATATATATGTCACAGTTGATTCGATATTGTGGGACCTGATCCCAATATCACGTTTTTCTTGCAAGATGTCGGCAACCGACAGCCCATTTCACAACACGGGGTTTCGAGAGATGGAGCTTAAGATTATAGGATAGTTTTATGGTCGTCATGACGTCATAGTGATCTCATTGAGAAGTGTTCTATTTCCCTTGTGCGATATGAAGTTGGACATGTTTGATCCTTAGAATGCCCGTTCGGTCTGTTATTACCAACCGCATCCACACCCCAAACACCTGTTAGAATCAGAAAATCGTGCCCTTCGGTTCTACATTTGTCAGTCACACACCAAATATAACAAGAAGTATAAATGATAATATTTTATATACTTAACATAACTAAAATTAACATAAATACATATGATTATTTTTTTTAGTCTCACTATAAGTAATTATAAACCTACAGCCATTTCTACAAAATAAAGATACTCGTTCTGTAAAACATTATACAAAGACGAGATTCTAGATATGTGCCTACAATTAACATTATCACAAAACCACTTTATTAGGGTAAATACATTTCTCAGAGTAGACTCGGTGAAAACTGTATTCTGCTGAATATCCTGTGAATATTCATGAATATGTATCGATACACAAGGCACACAAGTGAATAGCACCTGTAAACACAAACAGAATGATTTGTATTGCCAAAATTGAACGAAAACATCATAGTGCTGTTTCGTCCATCTAGGACTCGTCAGTGATGCTATTAGCTCTACGCTTTAAAACAGCTAGAAGTAGACTGAGGAAAATTAAAATGGTTGAAAATATGTCTACTCTACCGTATATCAGGACTAGACAAAAGTATATAACACACATCATCATCGGTTCAAACTGAAGAAAATCTAGTTCTACAACTTTCGATGTAAGAACTGAATTCTTATAAATTAAAGAAAAAAATCCAAGAGGCTTTTCTATCTGTTTTCTCAATACAAAAAATATGCAAGACAGTCGTGTTACAGTACATATTGTTGAAGACAATAGAACGTCACCTGTCTTTACTCCAGACACAAACATGAAAAAATACATTTGAGTCACGATATATCTTCATTTTGATTGTGTCGTGACATTTGTGCATCATCAAATCAACCAATTTTATCTATCGAGCGACATCTGCATATATTACATGTTTAGAAATTTAGAAATATAGCAAAAATATATAAGTAAGATGGTATAATAAAATGATAACTAGGATATAAATAAAAACAAAGATGGTGCGATCACTATAAAGCATTTGATTCACAGAGAGCAAGCCTTAAACCCTTCCATACACAAAGATATCGCGTGTCCTCGTGGTCAGCTATTTACCTGTTTTCTCTTCATAACGTTAAAAAGAATTCTCTACATATCATTCTTTACAAATGCACATTTTTAGATTTTACAAGACAGATATTTAATACCAAATTCTGGAAACAATGAAAATCATTGATACATTCATTATATATCAATTTCTTGCAACAAGTTTGATTTCTTAGTTTAATAAGTAATTATAAGGACAAACCTTTTAAAGATATCCAAGATCTGAGGTGGTAAATCACAATACATGTACCTTTTGAATTTTATGACGAAGCATGATTTTTTGTCTGTTTTCTCTTGTTGTTGTTGTTTTTGTTTTTTTTAATCGCAAATGAAATAAAATTACGAATTACCGAAAGGATAAAAAAATAATGATTTAAAGAAAATGAAACACTTTATCCGATTCATGACTTTCTTCTTTTAAACAAAGTTTTGAAAATTCACGAAAATTTTAAACACAGAAAATAAGATAATTCATAGTTTATAATTCACGGTTGTTAAATCATACCGATATGTAGGAAAGTCATATCTTACACAATTCAATCATCAAAACAACTTTGAATTAAGAAACATTTCCTGTAAATAATAAAGAGTAAATTAAACTGTTGAATCACATCCTTCAGCTTTTAAAGCATTGCAATAACAATTCGTACATACAAAAATCTTATGTAAATCTGAATGCTAATTTTACGCCAAGTAAACGATTTTTTCGCAATATTTTTCATTCGAAATAATATTGTTTCTTTCACTATATTTTTGTTAATGAATAATAATGATAATAATAATGAATTAAATTGTTACCAAGATATGTTTCTGAGATAAATATCCCATTAATTTGACTATATTCATGAGAAATATTAAAGGACTACACTCAAATAGAAAATATAGCAATTCTATACACCATTTAATGATATCAAAACTAGATGGACACGTCTACAACTGGGACCATTATGTAACAATATAACAAACAAACTGGCCACTTTTAAAAGGAAATTGTCTATTGGTAGTTATTTGCTTTCAAACTTGTTTAGAAACAAGGGACATCTGTGTTCAAATCTTTAAAATCATTTTATGGTATACTTAATATCATACGCTAAAACAGCATTTGTTATGCATTAAAACCATTTAAAAAATATTCTCTCGAAAATAAAGACAGCTTTGCTATCTCCACACAATGCATCTGTAGATTATCATTACGTGTTAGTATTTGATAAGCTCTAATATATGGTGCCTAATCGGAGCATGGCGGTTCCTAGCTGCTATGTCACCACGAGTTTGAATATAAAAATATATATATAAAATTTCATATATTAGAAACATGTCGATAAGCGAGAAAAAAACTATCAATTTACGTTCAAATCATTAATATGCATAGTTAAATAAATCTTGCATATATATATTTATTTGAAATATAAAGGTTGAATTCATAGTGTCGGGTGAGATATATTAAGAATAACTTCAAACATCACTTCAAATCAAGCATTGGTGCATGAAGATTCAGAAGATCTTAACTCGACGTGTTGTTGGAAGGTATATATATATAAATATATATTATATAAATGATTTGTTTTCCTACCCTCAATGACAAATAACTTTTGTTGATAGATTGTTGCATATAGATAGTCAGCAAAAAGTCTAAAATAGCATCAGTATTCGTAGGGTAATAGGTTGTGATTCATGATTTCTTTACCAAAGAGAGAAACTTTATCAATAGCATTCTGCCAGAGTTTTTCCTGTGTTCCCTTTTCCGAAGCACTGACAACAAAATGTTCTATAGGTTTCGTCCTGTCCTGGTACTCGGTCATTCCCAGCTCCTGGTTCAGTGTAAATGAATTAACACTATCAATAACATTTACACCTGGAACTCTCTTCAACAGAAATCCGAACATGTACACATCGTCAACTTGTACAAGTGGGGTCTCGTAAGAGGCATTCAGAAGCAAAGGAACCAGATCACTGGTAAAAAGCACGGCATATCCTGTGCAGAACGTTGGAAGTTTGCCTTTATCAGTCACAGTTAGAAGATCTGGCGGTATATACCATTTACTGTTTCGGTCAGTGACGATCGAATGATTGTATTTTCTTTCACAAACAATAGATTTTGGCTTTTTCATTATTTGTGGTATAATTTTTTCAATGAGTGCATACATATCTACAAATATATCATCGTCCGTTTTAAGTATATACTTCGCTTGTGTACAACGGTTGTTTACGAAGTCCAATAGAGCAATGGCTTTCAGAGACATATTTCTAAAACTGTCTTTAAAATGACAAAGAATAATATCATCCTGCTGCTTTCGTTCGTTTTCTACATTTTCGATAACTTGTTTATCGTCCGTTTCACCAACTAGAAAAACGCGTTCTACATAAATTTCTTTGAAGTTATGGACCCCTGCCCACGTGTTTCTGATTTCATCACGCTTGTAGCCATTTTGTGGCGCGCTGTGTATATATATCAATAAGTGAACAGCACCTCGATGACAAACCTCTTTTTGAACGTCATATGACATGAGATGTGGATGTTTACGAGACTTCTGCGGCAACTGAACCAGTTTTGGGCCATGGATGAACCATTTCATGACATCGGAATTTGACGGACCCGTATAAATCTGTGCTGCTGTTTTGTTACTATGGTGACCAGAATTTTCACTTTCTCCCCTTGGTTTGTAGTTTTGGAGAGCTATATCGCTTTCTGGAGTGTGGTAGTGTTTTGGGATGATCCACGACTGAAAGTGAACGGTCATCAAGCAAAGCCATAGCACAACATAGAGAACACATGCCTCTAGCTTGATCAAAGTACGTAAATTCAAGCATATATTCATTATGGTATCTCGGTTGATTCTATTCCCTGCAAATATAAACAGAAATATTTTAAACGACGTATATATGTATGTTATGAAATCAATTAAAATCCTTCTGTGTGTGACTGATTTCAAAATATATTTCAGTGATACACAATGACAAGTTTTTTTCCTACCAATGATGCTTATTAAAGCTATATGACTTCTTTTTATGAATTTATGATGGAAATCGCAATAACATTTCCATATTTTAACTTTCCTGAAACAATTGCTCACTTTTCACCTTATTACTTCCATTCAGGATAAAGTAATCTGTTAATTGTTTATAGGTTCTGCATATTCAACATATTAACTATCACAAAACAAAGACACAAGTTAGCATTGGAGAATGCTCCTTGTCCCTATTATGGGAACATTTCACTGGTAGATATTGGTTTATCTAACAAACAAATTATTTGGGGTGTGGTACCGTCTACTTTAAAGATTTTTTTGACGTTGATTTCGAAGACTTGCTTTTCCTCAGTCATCTCTTATTCAGTTCAACAATTTAAGCATTAAGTGTCACTGACGAATCTTAGAAGGACGAAACCGTTGTGTGACCCAATTTAAGTCATTATTGGCTTTATACAGTATTTTCTTCCTAAAATCATTTACTGCGTCATTCGATCAACAAATGATATTGGTCATTTTTTGTCTGTGTTAGTACCATACCTTAGCATTCAGTTAAAAAACTCTAAAAACTTGAATAAGATACACAATAAGCATTAAGTATAGAAAAGAGAATCTCTATTATACACGTGGAATATATACCCCTACCAGTTCTGTAAAATGCTGAAATATAAGTGTAGTGCTGTCCATCATATTACATTACAGTTATACAGTTATGGTGTGTGATAATAACTTGTGATGTGTGATATTATATTTATCTAGTTTGGTGTATTTATCTAGTTTGGTGTATTTATCTAGTTTGGTATATCTATCTAGTTTGGTATATTTATCTAGTTTGGTATATTTATCTAGTTTGGTATATCTAGTTTGGTATATTTATCTATTTATCTAGTTTGGTGTATTCATCTAGTTTGTTATCTAGTTTGGTATATTTATCTAGTTTGGTATATTTATCTAGTTTGGTATATCTAGTTTGGTATATTTATCTATTTATCTAGTTTGGTGTATTTATCTAGTTTGGTATATCTATCTAGTTTGGTACATTTATCTAGTTTGGTATATTTATCTAGTTTGGTATATCTAGTTTGGTATATTTATCTATTTATCTAGTTTGGTGTATTTATCTAGTTTGGTATATTTATGTATTTTGGTACATTTATCTAGTTTGGTGTATTTATCTAGTTTGGTATATTTATCTATTTATCTAGTTTGGTGTATTTATCTAGTTTGGTATATCTATCTAGTTTGGTATATTTATCTATTTATCTAGTTTGGTGTATTTATCTAGTTTGGTATATTTATGTATTTATCTAGTTTGGTATATTTATCTAGTTTGGTATATTTATGTATTTATCTAGTTTGGTATATTTATCTAGTTTGGTATATTTATCTATTTATCTAGTTTGGTATATTTATCTAGTTTGGTATATTTATGTATTTTGGTACATTTATCTAGTTTGGAATATTTTTCTAGTTTGGTATTTAACTAGTTTGGTTTATTTATCTAACTTGGTATATGTATCTAGTTTGGTATATTTATCTAGTTTAGTATATTTAACTAGTTTGGTTTATTTATCTAACTTGGTATATGTATCTAGTTTGGTATATTTATCTAGTTTGGTATATTTATCTAGTTTGGTATATGTATCTAGTTTGGTATATTTATCTAGTTTGGTATATTTATCTAGTTTGGTTTATTTATCTAGTTTCGTATATTTAACTAGTTTGGTTTATTTATCTAACTTGGTATATGTATCTAGTTTGGTATATTTATCTAGTTTGGTATATCTATCTAGTTTGGTATATTTATCTATTTATCTAGTTTGGTATATTTATCTAGTTTGGTATATTTATGTATTTTGGTACATTATCTAGTTTGGAATATTTTTCTAGTTTCGTATATTTAACTAGTTTGGTTTATTTATCTAACTTGGTATATGTATCTAGTTTGGTATATTTATCTAGTTTAGTATATTTAACTAGTTTGGTTTATTTATCTAACTTGGTATATGTATCTAGTTTGGTATATTTATCTAGTTTGGTATATTTATCTAGTTTGGTATATGTATCTAGTTTGGTATATTTATCTAGTTTGGTATATTTATCTAGTTTGGTTTATTTATCTAGTTTCGTATATTTAACTAGTTTGGTTTATTTATCTAACTTGGTATATGTATCTAGTTTGGTTTATTTATCTAGTTTAGTATATTTATCTAGTCTGGTATATTTATCTAGTTTGGTTTATTCATGTAGTTTGGTTTATTCATGTAGTTTGGTATATTTCTCTAGTTTGGTGCATTGATCTAGTTTGGTTTATTTATCTAGTTTCGTATATTTATCTAGTTTGGTGCATTGATCTAGTTTGGTATATTTATCTAGTTTGGTATATGTATCTAGTTTGGTATATTTATCTAGTTTGGTATATTTCTCTAGTTTGGTTTATTTCTCTAGTTTGGTGCATTGATCTAGTTTGGTTTATTTATCTAGTTTCGTATATTTATCTAGTTTGGTGCATTGATCTAGTTTGGTATATTTATCTAGTTTGGTTTATTCATGTAGTTTGGTTTATTCATGTAGTTTGGTATAGTTTGGTATATTTCTCTAGTTTGATATATATATCTAGTTTGGTTTATTTCTCTAGCTTGGTATATCTATCTAGTTTGGTATATTTATCTAGTTTGGTATATCTATCTAGTTTGGTATATTTATCTAGTTTGGTATATTTATCTAGTTTGGTATATTTATCTAGTTTGGTGCATATGATCTAGTTTGGTATATTTATCTAGTTTGGTATATATATCTAGTTTGGTATATTATCTAGTTTGGTTTATTTATCTAGTTTGGTATATCTATCTAGTTTGGTATATTTATCTAGTTTGGTTTATTTATCTAGTTTGGTATATTTATCTAGTTTGGTTTATTAATCTAGTTTGATATATATATCTAGTTTGGTATATATATATCTAGTTTGGTATATCTATCTAGTTTGGTATATTTATCTAGTTTGGTTTATTTATCTAGTTTGGTATATCTATCTAGTTTGGTATATCTATCTAGTTTGGTTTATTTCTCTAGCTTGGTATATCTATCTAGTTTGGTATATCTCTCTAGTTTGGTATATTTATCTAGTTTGGTTTATTTCTCTAGTTTGGTTTATTCATGTTTGGTATATTTCTCTAGTTTGGTTTATTTATCTAGTTTGGAATATTTCTCTAGTTTGGTATATCTATCTAGTTTGGTATATCTCTCTAGTTTGGTATATTTATCTAGTTTGGTATATTTCTCTAGTTTGGTTTATTTATCTAGTTTGGAATATGTATCTAGTTTGGTTTATTTATCTAGCTTGGTATATTGATCTAGTTTGGTATATCTATCTAGTTTGGTATATTTCTAGTTTGGAATATGTATCTATCTAGTTTGGTATATGTATCTAGTTTGGTATATCTATCTAGTTTGGTATATGTATCTAGTTTGGTATATTTATCTTGTTTGGTACATTCATCTAGTTGAGTATATTTATCTAGTTAAGTATATTTATCTTTACAGCAGTAAATTCCATAATATTTTAATGTTTAATTAGATCTTTGATATGAATTCAATTTCAAAGTCAGCGTATTATGCATAAGGAAGTCGTCTGCGAGGTGAGTAGATAATATTGTGTGTGTGTGTGTGTGTGTGTGTGTGTGTGTGTGTGTGTGTGTGTGTATGTATGTATGTATGTATGTATGTATTATAATATCATAACATCCATAACATTGGTCTTGCCTCGAACGTTAGCTGTAATGTCTTGTACGTGTTACATTCCCTATTTATAATTATAATAGATATCTATAAGTAAGGTAATATGTGTGTCTTCCTTGGTATACATACCCTTATATCTGGCTGGTATGGTGAAACACACCTGTATTCTTGTCGCAAAACCTGGTGTTCATTTCCTCTTAATTATACTCCGGGTGGCCGAGTCAATAATTAATAAACATGTAATATACATTTCTACCGGATATTCACATACGTGCCCACTTGCGCATGTGTAGTACGCGTGTATAGAAAATCCACATGTAATATAGACAAGTACTGAGTATAGATTTAACCCGTTCTGCTAGTTACCTGTGACCTGAACAGTGATCTCAGCTTTGTCAGCTTGACATACAGTAACAACACGGTCATGAGAGATGATGGTCACCATACTACCGAACACATTCTCTGTTCATGTTGAATCAGGGACAACAAAATATTCATTGCTGAATAGGATTTGACTTATAATGATTGTATTATTCAATCTAAAAATCAATATCACATAATCGATTAGTATTAGGCTGTACCATATGCGGGACGCCATGGATTAAGTTCCCTTGTCGAGTCGTAGGTACGAGAGCGCACAGGTAGAATGGGGGTCAGTCATAGATGAATGATTTTTATCAAAATACTTATGCGAACTTAGTTGGTATCGTTTTCACCAGGAAAATTTAAAGAAACTGAATGCTTATTAAATGCTCCCCGTCATGGAGGTTTATTCGGTAACTTTTACGTTTCAAACATTAACTGAAAACAATTAAGAACAAATCTTAATTTTAGTTTTCTTTTATTGACATAAAGTTCTCTCATCAAGAAACAAATAAACCATATTTTTACATAAATTAGTTCGTTAAGAAACATTAGACGGTGTTTCTCCCAGGCGAATGGTTATGTCCTTCAACACACAGAGACATGCTGCACGTCAATATATAACATACGGAAAATGGGCCGCCATCATTTTGTCATTAGTGGATGTGTTCAAAAAATTCTGTAATAAGAACCATAAAAGTACGTATAAGTTAAAATACTATTTAATTGCTCACAAATGTTAATTGATT